GAAAATTTTTATCTGGCTCTTTACAGAGAGTTTGTTGATTTCTGATTTGGTCCAACTTCCTCAATATATAGATAAGGACACATTTCCAGATCCTTTGCTAATATTTTCAAAGGTCTTATCAAGTTCCACACTTTGCTTACATATAAAAATATGTACATTAGCCAAAACTCACCATCTTTTCCTATGTGCCTTACTGTTCTCAAGACAAGTACATACTTGTTTTACATGTTGGTATTCTTTTTTAATATAAAGTCTTTTATGTTAGCTAAGCTAATTTTCTGAATTAATATTTTACTCTTCAAGTCTTTTTCATAAACTTTTTCAAATATTAAGAGTTGTTTTACAACAGTCTGTCTTGGCTATTAGTGTTTATAACTAAAATGTGTTTGAACATCACAAATTTTGCATTTCATAGTAAAAGGCCCAAATGTAGCTAAAACCTTTAATTAAAATATGGAGTATTACTTAAATAAATAAAAAACATTTATTCAAAAACATTCATGGAATACCTCCAGTTACAAGGTCCTGTACTTGGTTTAGGTATTAAAAATGACCAAGACCCTCTTAGAGCCCATGCCTTTGAAAAGCTGGAATCCTTTGGGGGGAAATAGACATATAAGCAGAAAACTGATATAAGGCATACTCCAAATAATGATTACATTAATCATTCTTTCCATTAGTGTTATTATCTGAATTTCATTATTCATTATCTGAAAATATTGATATGCCATCTAAAGCCTCTTAAAGTGTACTTCTATTAAAGCAAGTTTCTATTATCCACTTCATCCCAAAGAGAATCCTCTGGTTTCAATTAAATTTTTAAAATAGAGGAATACAGGGGCCGGCCTTGTGGCCGAGTGGTTAAGTTCACGCGCTCCACTTCAGCAGCCCAGGGTTTCCAATGGTTCGGATCCTGGGCGCAGCCATGGCACCGCTTGCCAGGTCATGCTGAGGTGGCATCCCACATAGCACAACCAGAGGCACTCACAACTAGAGTATACAACTATGTACTGGGGGGCTTTGGGGAGAAGAAGAAGGAAGACAAAGTAGAGGAATACTGCTTTTTTTCTCCCACTTTATTAAATGTCATTGACACATAACAATGTGTAAGTTTAAGGTGTAAAATGCTGATTTGAGAGGAATACTGCCTTTACAAAATACATAGCACCACTAGGTAATATTATAATGCTAAACCGAATTTGTTATCTACAGCTGTTATTTTTCAGGATTGTGATTTTATCCATGGTAAATACAAATCTGTGAAACAAAGAACAATGTTAGACTGGTATTTTGCTCTATTGAATGGAAATCCAATTATTTTCCTGTTGACTCCTATCATTTTTTTCATTGTCCTATCCCTCTTTCTTATTCCTTTAAATAAACATTTCATTCTAGAAGTCTTTATCCTTTTCTTATAAATTTCCATTACGTTCTCATATTATTCCAAAGAAATGTTAAATCTGAGATTCAATAATTTAAACATTTGACAGTTTTGAGGTTAAAACATATTAGGTTATTCAGCAAATGTACATAGTGCTTATACGTATTCAAAAGGTATTCTCCATCCTTGTGAATGAGTTTAACTCTCTCTACAAGAAAACCAACATACAACCCAAGAGATTAAATTTTTTGCCTGGTTTTAATAGTGAGAGAAAGCACAAACAGAATTAAAAATCTAGATTGCAAGGCTGAGGTTATGTCGGCTTTCATTTTGCAGGAATGGAGACTGAACTGGTGAAAAAAGGGTAATCAGGTTGAAAATCCTTATTTTGTTTTTGATGATCTATTCTCTGTTTCCTTGGAAACAGAGCTGGCAGCCACAGAGTTGCTGGCATTATGTTTTCTTTTCTTTTTAAGCTTTGAAGCATCAAAGAAAAGGTGAGCTTTTATGATTGTAATCTGTAGAATCTGACTTATTTTCAAATAAATTAAAAACAAATATATATTGAATGCCTATCACATATAAGATACCAGGATGTAAAACTAACAAGCTTGAGAACGAGCTTTAAACCAACTGAGTGGAATAAATTTTAGTTTCTCAGAGCCAATCTATTAGAGATTTGTAGAGGTTTTTTTTAAGAAAAAGAGAAATTAAAGCTTATTTAAAAACATATAGTGTGAGGGTAGCACATTGAGACCAGCATAGTTCAGTGAAATTAATTTTAGAAAACAAATAGATTCCTACACCAGACAGCATGATTCCTTGTTCCCCTGCACAAAAACTAGGTAATAGGAGGGCGGTTACTCTGTATTGAGAAGACACTCTTTGTCTCCAGTAAATGAAATAAACAAACAAAAACTAAAGGGAGCTTAAACAAACCTAGAAGGTTTTCTGAAAAACTGATATATTAATAAATTTACTAAATATTTCGGTTGTGAGGTGATTGCCAAATGACTATAAAATGGTCTTTTCCTTTATGAAAGGCTGCATTAATCTAAGTTTAAAAAGCCATATCTTTAGGAACGCTGCTGAGATGAGAAGGCAAGAGCTACAGGTGATAGCTGCAAGGAGGACGTCTCTTTTTTTAAATTAATAAGATCTAAGCATATTTATGTCCTTCGGGGGACGGAGGATAGAATGGGAGAGATTGACAGAGACTTGAACTTGACAGAACTAATTTTCTGAAGAGAAGGGAGGGGATGGGAACTAAAACACAACTAGAGGGATTTGCTTTTGACATCCTCTAAGGACAGCAAAGTACGCTAATAATGCTTACTATGTGCCAGGCATTGTTCCAAGCATTTTAGATATATTAACGGAATTAGGACTGGATGGAAATGATGAACCTGGGAATGAAGAGTTGAAGGAATGTGCACCCCAAAATCAAAATTCTGTGAATATGAAGATCAAGTTATGTACTAATAATCTGCTAAAAGAGAAAGAAGAGATAGTGTAGGGAGCTTAAAAAGAGGTGATTTGAAGAATAGGAGAGAAAGTTGACCAGAAACATGTAGAAGTATTTCTGAACAGTATTCAAATGATTGTGTCATTTTCTCCAGCCGTGTGCAGATCCACTACTGTCAGAGCTCAGAGCCCAGACTATACTGACCCAAGGTTGGAAATTTGGAAGCACAGTGGGAATGAAAGACAAGAGTTCAGGAAGTTGACAGGCCTGGCAGAGGGTGGTTAAGTGATGCTCAGGAGGGTTAGGTTAGATATGAAAGGAAGTGAACCCAGGAGGCAGATAACGATGGACAGGAAAAAAGAAAGTTAAAAAAGTAGGAACAGCAAGATTGCGAACATAGAGAGTCCATTGTCTTCTATCCCACTCCTTTCTGAGCAGACAATCAAGGCAGCAGGCTGCCACAATTCATGAAAGCCACCAGAAGAGTAAGCTGCGTCATCTTCAAATTCACGATTTTCTCCAAGTAACAGAGTCCTCAGGCAGGACAGATCCTTGCTACCCAAAGTGTAGTCCACTGACCAGCATCACCAGCATCTCCTAGGAGTTTGTTAGAAATGCAGAATCTTTGGTCCCACTCCAGGACTACTGAATCAGAATCTGCTTTTTTAACAGAATCTCCAAGCAATTCATATGCATATTAAGTTTAAGCAGCACTGGGATAGATACATGAGAAAGTGTAGATTCACTCTTGGTTTATTTGTGGTTGTCATGATATGCTAGGAGAAACAAGGAGCAGACATTCTGTCTGTGATGTTCTCCAGTGCCCAGACTCAATGTATACCCTCTTTTATGTGTAACTTAAATCCTTTCCCAAGTGATTTGTCATCCTTGGCACTAACTCCTCCATCATTCCACCCCACACCCCAGATGTTCTCACATCTGAACATCAGGGTATTGCACAAAATAAACTATAAGCTTCCTCTCAGCTTTAAAATTCTTTGATTTTTATGTGTCATAACCAAACTTCCTCTGCACAGAAGAAAAATACCAGAAAATCAGCCCAAGTGAAATGCAATTTAGTCAGTGCCAAAAATAATTCTAAGAAGACTTCTGTAGTTAGCCACACACACCATCTGCTCTTGGGTTAGCTTTAAAGATAAGGTGTCTTTCTTCTCCTAACCCTCCAGTGTTTTGAACGGCTATACGTGATAATGGTTTTTGAGCTGCTTTTTACCCCCTCCTTTGTGCAAAACCGAACTGAAATTCTTCAAAATTAATTAAGTCACTTGAGAGTCTGAGTGGCAGCTTGAGCGAAACTGCCTCCTTGCGTTAAGGTGGCATCAAGTCCCCAAGAGGTGTAGGTTCTGGGGAGCAAGAGGCAAGTCAGAGTCAAACCGATCACCCACAAACCTGTTGGGGGAGTCAGTGTTAGTGGAAATTTGGGGAGCGTTTTTTAAGGACTAACGATGCTTTTTGTGATTCAGACTTTCATCGTATACTAAGAACAGAAGCTTGTCGACCTGCTGGTGGTTTTTTATGAGCCGGTGCTTGTAAGCGCTGTTACCTACTGGGCCAACGTCGGCAGTCAAAAAAAGGCGGGGTACAAGCCATTTGTTCTCTTCTCGAGATAACTGGTCCAGAGAGCTGGGACTGTGCTCTCTCACCGCTGGGAGAAGCGAAATAGCGGAGGCCTGAGGCGGTTCAAAATTGCACAGGAAGGGTTTTTAAACTGCGCAGGGAGAGGTGTTTGCGACGTGACAGCTGACGTCCCCCTCCCCTCGCCCGATCAGCTCACCATCATTAATCGCCTCTCCAGCTCCTGGTTCACCCACCCGACGCCCACCGGCCCTTCCCCCTCCGGCCTCCAGGGCTCCCGCGCTCCGCCCATCCCTCTCGAGTCCCCCCGTCTCTTTCCTCTTTCTCTCCGGCCTGCCTCTCAAGCCCTCCCCTCCCTTTTCCTCCTTTTCCCTCTCCTCGCCTCCTCCCTTTTCTTCCCAGCCCGCTCCCTTCTCTCCCTCGTCCCTCAGATTCGCACTCCCGCTCCGAACGCCGCCTCCGCTCTCCCAGCTAGACGCCAAGGCGGGAGGCGCAGCGGGCCGGCTGCGCGCAGGCGCAGTGGCGGCGGGCGCGCGGGCGCGCGGGCGGGCCGGGAGTCGGCGCAGGCGCGCGCGGCTCGGGCTGCGCTCCGCGAGGGCGGCCGGGCGTCCCTCTGCTGGCTCAGTCCGGGCTCCGGGCCCCGCGGCGGCGGCGGCACCATGTTCCTCCACTCGGTCAACCTCTGGAACCTGGCGTTTTACGCCCTCATGGTCTTCATGGCCACCCTGGGGCTGTGGGACGTCTTCTTCGGCTTCGAGGAGAACAAGTGCAGTATGAGCTACATGTTTGAGTACCCGGAGTATCAGGTGAGGTTCCGCCTTCTCCTCACCTGGGCGCTCGAGACCGGCCCCTCCTGCCCGGCTTTCTGTGGGTTTCCCCGGCCTTGGCTGCCCGCGCCTCTCCGGCCCCCTCATCCCATGCTCACTTCGGCTTTCTCCGCCCCGGAAGAAACTGCTGGCTTTGCAGACCCTGCTGCCCCCGCCCCCCCCCCCCCCCCACCCCCCCTTTGTGTCTTCCCTTCGTGGTGGGGTGTTTGATAGATGGTTCCTCAGCATCCTCCCCGCCCCCCTCGCAGCTGCTCCCCTGTCCCTCGGCCCTCTTCCCGGCCCCCAATCCCGAGCACAGTCTTTTGACTGGCCGAGCCCAACCCCCTTTACCCACCGGGGACGCAATCTCATCCCCTCTCCCTAGACCCAAATCCCATCTTCCCTGCGTTCCTGCCTAACAGGTGCCCCTGGACCCTGCTTTGCTTCCCACGCGCCTAGATCTTCCCCTCCCACCCAGTGATATGCGCGTCAGCTCCCGCTTTTCTAGAAGGGGACCGAGCTTCTGCAGAGTGTGTATCGGTTAGATAGTTCCCGAGGCTGTGTTAGAGACTCCAGGGGTTTTACCTCTGTGTGGAAGGCTAACCTGATGAGTAATTAAATGGAAAACTGTTGCGGTTCCCTCCCGTACAGATTGCGGATCCTCCTGTTGTGTAGGTTCTGGGTCCGTGCGTGTGCATGCATGCCTGTGTTTATGCATGTCGCCTCTTGCCAGTTGCATACAAAATCTATTTCATGGTCTTACTTTTGTTTTCTCACTGTGTTTGCAATTTAAGAGAGACCTGGCCCTTCTTTCTCTGTCTCTCCGTTTTCCGTTCCATTTTGAGTGTTTTCAGTCACAGTTGCTTCATCGGAGTAGAATCTAGAATTTCATTCATGACCAGCTGTAAAAAAGAGATGGTGACAAATTGCACAACTGTCCAAAGAAATTTCTTCCTAATGATTCTTTTATTTCTAAACGCATATCCTAATTATGGAATACATATTATAATGATAACTCCCTTCCATAAAAAGTGTATGTATTATAATACAAATTGATAAAATGCATTTTTAGTATACTTTTAAAGCTATAGCGGATGTTTTTTTTAAGGTGAAAGATGCAGGTCGTGATTGCTTCTGTGTACAGGTCCTTATGGAGGAGCATGTATTTGATAATGCTGCTATTATTCAGATCTTAAAACTGCTTAAGATTTAGATTACTGAGGTGCATCCTTTCCCATGGACAAAATTCTAGTGTAGATTTCATTTGTTTTGAGATCCTTACCTTGCTTTTGCATCAGTGCTTACAAGGGAGTGGAAACATTTGCTGTCAGATGCTATTGAAGGAGAAGATTTTAACGTGTTATTGTTGTCTGTTAATTTCTAAGGGAATATGCTGGTTTATGTTTATCAGAGGCTGTATATAAATACGTGGGCTTTTAGTTGAGATTTTTTTAAAACTGAAGATAGAGCCCTTATCTCTTTTCGTTTTTCTATGGCTTAATAATTAGGAAACTCCCCATAGATTGAAGTAGGTCACTTTGGTTTTGTATTGCACTGAAGAGTTTGGTTAAAATAAATTTATTTTGGAACAATACAGTACTAATTCCTGCTTATTTTTAGCCACATTATTGAAGCTATTTTAATATTTGCAGTAGTAGAAATTGCTTAGTGTTGGGAACAAAGCATATGGACCTCAACAGATGCATTCCGTGCCTCGTAAAATGACTGGAAAGAAAGAGAAAATTAGTGTAGCTAATGCAAAAGAGCTGTTTGGCTTTTTGTTGTTGTTGAGTAGTTTGTATTCAATTATTTTGGTTCACATTGCCTTTTTGAGGTTTTATACTTCTGTTAATGATTTGTTAGTACAGTAATAATTACAGTGGCGGAGTTTGTGATCCACATTTTTAGTTTTTATTTTTATGATGTAAAAAGCTGTGTCAATTCACTACAGTATTTATACTCTTAGCCCTTTGTCTCTTAGTCCTTTATTTTGCACACTGGGTCCAGTTATTTTACAAATATGGTTAAAATCTGACTATGGAATCATTTTGAAATATAGTAAGAGATTTCTGGATAACTGAGGTCATTCTATTAAGAATCAATGGTTTTTAATGAATAAAAGTGTTCTAAACATATTATGTTGCTTACTTTTAATTATATTTTATAGTAAGCTAATTGTTCACAGGTTGATAGCTAGCCTATGGGATGTCCTAGTCATTGGATTTTCTTCTCTTTCTTGATCCTTTTCTTATTTTTTTACTGCTTATTTGCATATTCTTTATCTGGCCAGCAGAGGAGATGAAAAGGTAGTTGAAACATGCTCAATTTTATTCTCCCATTTAAAAAATAAAAAGTGGGACAGGAATTTGAAACTTTTTGTAAAAATGAGGTTTTGAATTTAAAATTGTTGGATTATCTCTATCATTCTCTCCCTCTGGTTTTCCTAGATTCACTTATTCAGACTTAACTGGGCATCTCAGGAACCTAGCAGGCAAAACACACGTTACGCTTTAAAGCTTCCTGCCTTATTATGAAAGGCAAGCAAGCTTTGATTTGGTAGCAAACAGTTTTAGGCAAATTGTAGAATTCGAGAAGCATCTGTCTTGTTTTCTCCTGTACAGTAATTTGCTTGGCTGTCTTCAGATATGTGACTAATGGTTGCTTTCTGAAAGGAAGCATTAATATTGGAAAATGTAAATCATATATTTTATTATTAAGTCTGATGTTTATTTAGCGGATCATTTATTGAATGACTACTCTGTGTCAGCTATATTCTAGATACTGGGTATGGATGAGAGGGAAGTAGAGATGAATCAGACCTTGTACCTTTAATTTGTGTCTTTATAATACAATGGGGGAGACAGGAATGTAATGGATAGTTAAAATATAGTATGCTATATGTTGTAATTTCACTGTAAGAGAGTATGTACAAGCCTCTTCAGAGAGGAGAGCATCCAAATTGGTTTTGGGTAGTCAAAGACTGTAGAGAAGACGTAGTGAATTGGGACATGTTGGGTGTATGGTTCCTGAAGTGCAGAAACAAGAAAATTGCAGGCATAAGGAGCAGCATATGTGAAGGTGGGAAGGCACCAGGCCACATTGCATAAGCAATATGTGTAGTATGTCACCATTTATGTAAAAAGGAGAAAATTACTTAGAAACACATTTGCTTACATGTGTAAAATATTTCTGGAAGCACACGCAAACTGATAGTGTTGGTTGCCTTCTGGATAGGGAAGTGGATGACTAAAGGACCAGGGTTAGGAGAGAGCCTTTTCAGTGTTTACCTCATTGAATCTTGAATTTTGAAACATATTAAAAATAAATTTTAAAGCATAGCATGTGTAAGTTATGAGAAAGTAGGCAAGAATAATTAGAGTCAGATTTTAAAGGCCCTCTCTCTTAAGCCTTTATCATCTGTATATGCAGTGAGGAAACGCATAAAGGTGTGTGTTTTAACAGGTATTTCTTGACAGCAGTATGGACTGTGGGTTGTAGCAGGGAGATTATGACAGGGAGAGAGAGCAGTCTGAAAGACTCAGTTGTGCCTAGGTCTCTTTATCAAGCTGGAGTCCTCAAGCGTATTCGCAGGGGTGGGGTGTGCAAAGGGCTGACAGCTCTTTGTAAGATCTTTAAAATGGTCTGCGTTCGTTTTGATCAAAATCCTTTTTTTTTCATTTTGGTCAGTTCCTTTGGCTCAAACTTTTATTTTCCAGTTTTAATCGTAAGATAAAGACTTTAGTTTCTTAAATCAGTATTTTTCTAGCGCTTGGAAATATATTAGAATTTTTGTCTTTTGGAAGGGGTCTGGGTGAGAGATGGGAAGGACCCGCACTAAGGCAGAGTCAGGAGAGGGTGGACAACAGGGGCAGGATTGTGGAGATATTTTCAGTGTAAAGCTAATTAATTGATCTTAATCAAAGATCTTTTAGGGGGAGGGCTGCTCATTTAAAACTAATCTATTTAAAGTAATTTAAAATATATTGGAGTTCTGTTGCTATAAATGGTTTCTTTTTAAATCCTTTGACCGTCTTCCGTTTGTTCGGCAGCATCCTTTTGTATGCCTGTACCTTTTCTGTCCTCAGTCTGGTCAATACCCTTCCTGTCTCTTCCTGCTGCTTGTTCCCAGCTTGGACTCTGTCTGGAAATGCAGCTTTACCATTTGCCTACAACTCCCACTCTCTTTTTGTTCTACCTCTTTTTCCATCTCCATACTTTTTTCCTTCATATTGTATGCATTCATGTTTTTTTTAAATGTATGCCTTTTCACTACAAAATTGCTTTCATAATAGTATTTTATGAAAGATATCAAGTATATTCTTTTGCTTGTTTTTTTGTCTCCAGAAAATTAAATATTTCTTTTTAGATATATTTGATAATTTCCTCTTCTTACTTTCCAACTAGCTCAAAACTTTGTTTAGCTACTGCCCTAAAAGGAATAATGATTTAATATGCACATACTACTATATCAAATGGTGTACTAAATTGGGAGGAGTTAAGAAACTTTTTCTTTGTTCTCTCACTTTTTTTTTTGCTTAATTTGTACCTAAAGAAACAAAATATTGCATCACTTTAATTTTTGATTGTATACTATACATAATCAATATTGGGACTAATTTGAGTTGAAGTACATGTACACACATAAAGAAAAAACATGGGGTCGGTATTTCTGTATTTTGATTAATCATTTGAGGAGACGAAGTTGCTAGTATCTTAAACAATATGCTCACAGTCTCTAAGGATGTTTTCATAGTGTTACTGGCACAGATTGTTTATGGTAATGTCCTCAAAGGAATGTTCAGGAATGTGCATCAGTGATCAGATTCTGCTTTTTAGAACAGTGAGCTTTTTCAGTAGTCATTACCATCTTCAGTTTTTAAAATTCATTCAGTAATTAAAATTTTTATCAAGCACATGGGTAGCACTGCTAGATCATTAAATCTATTGATGTTTACTTAAATAAAATCTACTGTTCATGTAACTGGTTTCCTTTTTAATGGCTTCTATCCTGAAAAAAAAAAAGGATCAAAAGAAGAGCTGGTACTTAACTACTGCTTTTATAGATGTCTACCTTTTTGGGATGACATTAAGACCTAATTTATATTTTGTTGAAAAAAATTTTAGGTGAACTACTGGCTCGTTTGGTATGCAATAATATGAATTGCAGAGAAGTTTAAGGCTTGCTGATAAACCGTGCATCTGGCCCATGAGAACTGAAACAGATGCTAATTCATTGGAATGTTTATGATGAGAAGAGTGTATGGTGTCTTGACCAAGACATGGCTATAAGGTTCAGATTAATTTGTTAAGCACATTTTAGGTCAAAACATACTAGGTCGAGAGGTCAGAAAGCTGCATTATAAAACAAACTTACTTTCCTTTGAATGACGTAACAGCTAGAATATATCATTGGGCCTCAGTAAAAGGAGAGACATAAAACAGTTTAAAATAGCAAAAAACAATTGATTTGGTAATGGAAGGCTTTTATCATTTCTAAGTATAATTGACACTGATACCAAATTAAATGCATTTCCAGTTGTGGTAACATGTAACTTGCTGACATATGCCAGTGTTTTTCTGCCTTTGTCAGTAGCTATTTTGAGTAGTTTATATTCAGTAGAGTTTTCAGGTAGTTCCATTTTATGCTTTCCTGAAGATTGCATGGTTCAAAACTCATATAATTCAAGACTAATTCTCTATATGAATAAACTAAAAGTAGAACTTGTTTTGTGTATTAAGTGCAGTTTTATTAGTAATATTTTTATATTGCACTATTTTTAATTTGTAGAATTCAGAATTGAGTACAATGAGGCTGAATTGTGTTAATAAAATTGATTAAAGTGAAATTGCATTTTTTTTGCTGTAGAAAATAGAACTTCCAAAGAAACTGGCAAAACGCTATCCTGCATATGAATTATATCTTTACGGAGAAGGATCCTATGCTGAAGAACACAAAAGTCTCCCTTTGACAGGTATTCCAGTTCTCTTTCTTCCAGGTAACGCTGGAAGTTATAAGCAAGGTAAGTCTCAGAAGTGAATTTTGAAAGCTACAAAATTCAGTTGAAGAGTTTATCAGAGACATACTCTGTGTTAAGTACTGTGCTAGGCATGCTGGGAGACATAAATATGTGAGATTTTGTCTGAGAGAAAGTACATAAAAAAGTATAGTTGAAGACCACTTTGCAAAGAGTAAGAAGGAGAAAAAGAATAAGATGGAGTGGAGTGGGATAAGTAGATATAGGGATGCAGGAATCAGCAGGAGAAAGAGGTGTGTGTTGGAAATGGAGGTTACAGAGAACAGAACCTGAAGCATTGATTAGAGAAGTAAATCAGTGGTTCATGTTATATTGAACAAGAGAGGAGATTGGCTTCTTTATTTTGGAGCTCTTTAAGTTAGAGAGATCTAGAAGTACTGAGGGGAGTACAGAAAGGTGAGGGTGGGAAATTAGATGTACAGATTCCAAAATGAATGTTGGCTTGGAGAAAGAGCAGTTATTTCTGTTATAACAACCAAGTAATCTGGAAATAACTTCAGCTAAAATCTGCTTTTCTGGTTATTAAATGGTATATTTTTTTATATAATGAGAAAGGAATTATTTCAACATTTAATTTAACTGCTTACATGTTTATTTATCTAGCAGGTATTTATGGGGTACCTACCGTGAGCCAGGCGGTATTCTAGGTGTTAGGGATCTAAAACAGACCAAGACAGATAAAGTCTCTCTCCTCATCGAACTTACATTCTTGTTGGGAAGACAGCCATCAAATGAATAAGACATTAATGTTAAAAGCTAGAAAGGAAAATAAACCAGAGTAAGGGATAGAGAATCAACAGGGTCAGGAAGTGGCTAGTTTAGATGAAGTGGCCATGAAAAGCCACTACGAGGAGATGACATTTGGGCAGAGGCTTGAATGTAACAAGAGACTGAGGTACGTGACTATTTGGGGGAAGACCCAGAGGCAGGAAGATGCTGGATGCATTCGAGGCCACTGAGACTAGAGAAAGTGAAAAGAAATGAGGATGGAAACGTAGCCACAGGCTGTATCACATAACTAAGGGAAATACTTCAAATTGTGGTCTAAGTGTGTTGGGAAACTGTTGGAGGATTTTGGGTAGGAAATGATATAATCTGATGTTTTTGTTAATCATACTTGAAATGTAACACACATACAGCAAAACACATAGAATATTTGGTTAAAAATTATTATAAAGTGAATACCCATGGAAGTAAAACCCGCGTCCAGGAATAAAGATTGTCCCCTGGAAACTTCCTGTATAACTCTTCCTGGTTAAAACTACCTTCCCTCTTTCTAGATGTAACCACAATCCTGACTTTAAGATAGTAATTTCCTTGACTATTCTCTATAGTTTTAGCAGCTAAGTATGCATCTCTAATACAATCTACTTATTTGGGGCTGTTCTTAAACTTTGTAATATAAATATAATCATGAGTTTGTATTCTTTGGCTTCTTCCACTCAATGTTGTTTTTAAAATTCATCCAGGTTGTTGTAGGAGCTGTGATTCATTCATTCTCCTCACTCTATATTATTCTGTTGTATGACTATACCATAGTTTAAACATTTTTGTCTTTGGACATTTGTGTTTACATTTATTGGCAATTACAAATAATGAATATTCTTCTCATCTTGGAGCACATAAGTCCATTGTTTCTGCAAGATGTATAGCATAAAAGCATAATTCCATGTCACAGATAATGTGTATCCTTTCATTTTTACTGGTTGTGGTAACATACTCCCAGAAACAGTACATTATACTTCCCTTTGCTCCATATCCTTGACATTGGAACTGTTAGATTTTTAAATTTTAACCAATCTGGTGGGTGTGATTTATTTTTAAAAAATGATCACTCTGGTTTTGCTGTGTAGAGAATTTGCTGAAAAGAGGCAAGAGGGGTAATAGGAAAGATAATAAACATCATTAGTTATCAAGGAAGTGGAAATCAAAACCACAATGAGATTTCATTTCATACCCAATAAAGTAACTACAGTATAAAAGACAGATAATAACACATGTTGTTGAGGATGTGAAGAAATTGAAATGCTCATACATTGCTGTTCGGAATGTAAAATGGTACAGCCTCTTTGAAAACAGTTTGACAGTTCCTCAGAATATTAAACATAGAGTTATATGAGCCAACAATTCTACTCCTAGGTATCTACCCAAGAAAAATGAATACATCCATCTACATAAAAACTTGTATGCAAATGTTCATAGCAACACTATTCATAATAACTGAAAGGTAGAAACAACCCAAATGTCCATCAACTAATGAATAGATGAATAAAATATTATATAACTATATAATGGAATATTATTCAGTAATAAAAGGGAGTGAATTACATGCTACAAAGTGGATGAACCTTGAAAACATCCATATGTGAAAGGAACCAGTCATAAAAGACCACGTATTATATGATCCCATTTATAAAAATGTCCAGAATAGGTAAATCCATAGAGATAGAAAGTAGATTAGTGCTTTCCAGGGCTTAGGAGGAGAAGAGGAATGAGGAGTGATTACTCATGAATACTGGGTTTTCTTTTGGGGATGATTAAAAAAAAAAAGTCTAAAGTTAGATTGCAAAAATGATTGTACAACTCTGTGAATAACCTAAAAATCATTGAATTGTACACTTTACAGGGTGAGTTGTATAGTATGTGAATTATATATGGTTAAAAAAAATTGAATGGCAAACAGAGATATTTTGTTGGCTAAGCCATACACCGCTATTTTTAGTGCTAATTTGCGTAATCAATTCACAATAAAGCCCGTTAAAGAATTTATAAAGCAAAACCTAAACCAGTGGAAGCACGGAGGCCAGTTAGGAGACTCTTAGTGCAGGCAGGAGTTGAAGGTGCTTGGATTAGGGAGGTGGTGGTGCACATGGTGAGAAGCCTGGAGCAGGTAGAGCGTGACAGGATTGACTGACGGGTTGGATGTCATGTGTCAGAAAAAGAGACAGATCAAGCATGAGTATCTAAACTATGTTGATGAGCAGACATTTCTTGTAGGAATATTCTCATTCTTAAAATCCTCAAGTGTGACAAAATTCTTATTCTTTTAATTCTTCAATGAATCTGTCTCTCTCTTTTAACTGTTATTATCCCTAAAAGGGAAGCAGGTAGAGAATGACCTCTTGACTTTGTATTTAATTTAAAACAATATTTAGGGCACAGGACATATAACTCCTAGGTTAGTTTGTTCTTCTAAATTGATACTATTAAAGGATTTCACCCTGAAATATGTTGTGTTTATTTAGGGTGTGGGATAAAGTTATCTGTTGAGAGACTTTGAAGCAAGAATACCTGAAACTTCTAAACATTTGTTTAATGTGCACTTTGCCTTTTTCCTCTGCAGTTCGTTCTATTGGCTCTATTGCACTTAGAAAAGCAGAAGACATTGACTTCAAGTACCACTTCGACTTCTTTAGTGTGAATTTCAATGAAGAATTGGTGGCACTGTATGGTGGAAGTCTTCAGAAGCAGACCAAGTTTGTACATGAGTGCATTAAAACAATTCTCAAACTCTATAAGGTAACAGATAAGCTTGCAAATCAATAGTGATCAACCTGTTAGCATCTCTTTTTTTTAATAAAGGACTCAGCATATTTTAAATCATTTATTTGTTTATATGGAAGTTGAGGCGAAGATGGCACCAAGTGTTTTTTTGTGGGAGTCTGTTGTTTTGAACTTAATGGTGGCTTTTGAAATTTCAATTGAATTTACAAGAAAACTTTCTTTTGAATTTAGGAAAAAAATTTTTAACTTTGTATATAAATTAGGAGTGCAGTATGTTACCTAAAAACCATTAGTATGGATTTCTGCCTCTAGTTATAACTAAGTAACTGGTCCTAGAGTAGACCATCTGCATTTGTAAACAACTATAAAACTAGTCAAGATAGCTGAAGCATGTTTTCAGGTATTGGACAACCAAGCAGTAAAGGACCATGACTCCTGAAAGAAAGAAAACATGTGAGGTGAGCTCCATGATCACCCTGGCTTTCTGCCTAGAAGCATTTTCCAGGCCATGGGGCAAGCAGGTGGAGATCATGTAGAGCATATTGATATCACTGAGCTGAGGAAGGTGGAGATTAGAATTTGGACTACTGAAGTGGCTAAATTTCTGGGGCACGGTATGAGAAAGAAGACAACTAGGCAGAGATAGAAGCTCTAGAAATTTGCACTTTTTGGTCTTTCCTATGCTGCATATGCACAGGTCACCAACTAAAGGCAATGGCATAACAAGGAGGAAGTGGGTGGGATGTGTCCACTTCAGGTGCAAGGACTAGGGGAAATTTAAAAGAGCAGTAAAACAGGCTAAATCATTCTGTGCCAGCAATCCTGAACAGTGTCAGTAATAAAATACTACTATCTACTGGGGTGAGCTACTTCTTCCCTTGGCATGCCACTGTGCATGTCCTGGAAAACAACACCTACTGGGGAATTGTGAGCTGGATTGGGATTTCAGAGGCCACATAGTGCTGGGAAACAGGAGTTCGGACCAGCTAGAGCAGAAAGACCTAACACATCGGGCATTCATTTGAGACCCCAGAAAGGACGTGATAGAGAAGTAGGACTACTACAAGCCCTAAAGTAAGAGCTTCTCTAGGATCCACCTTAACCATGCTTAAGAATAAGCCTCAAAAATACCAAAATTGGGAATTTAAAGAAAAACATGCACATAACAAGAGAACAGATGGAGAATCTCAGAGACATGAAAACTATTTTTAAAAAAAATGCAAAGGAAAATCTAGAACTGAAACAGTACATATCAGAAATGAGAAATTCAGCAGATAGGCTTTAAGCAGATTGAACATGACAGAAGAAGAGATTATTGAATTTGAAGTTAGGACAATAAAAACTACCCAAAATGAAGCACAGAAGATAAAAGGATGAAAAGGATAGAGCCTCAGGAACTTGTGGGACAGTACTGAGCAGTCTAACATATATGTAATTGGAACCTCAGAAGAAGAGAGAGAAATAGGAGAGGAAAAAATATTTAAAGACCTAATGGCCCCAAATTTTCCAATTTTGATTAAAAATTTTCAACCCACAGATCCAAGAAAGTCAATGAATGTCAAGCAGGATAAACACAAAATCACACTTATGTATATCATAGTCAAATTGTTGAAAACCAAAATAAAGAGAAATCTTAAAAGCAGCCAGAGGAAAAAAGACCCTTTACTTATAGAGAAAACAATAAAAATTACCACTGGTTCCCATTAGAAATAATGAAAGCCAAAAACAACAGAACATCTTAAAGGTATTGGGGGTGGAGATGAGGGGGACTCTCAACCTAAAATTGCATATCCAGTAAAATTATCCTTCTAGAAGGAAAGAGGGAAATAAAAAAATTACCGGTAGGTGAACAGCACAGTAATTGCTGCAGACACGATCTATACATGGATGCTAAAATTAGTGGGTGAAAAATTGAGAAAAAGGATATTCATATGGTCTCAAAGTATCTTTTCTAAAATTATTATTGACTACCAAGGGAAAGAGTAACTTTATAGTGGAGAAACCTGGCAGACATCATGTTAACCAAGGTTCGCATCACCAGTAATAAGAGAATTTGACATCATTAACCCCCTTGACATGCACGGAGAAGGATGCAACATAATTTTTGTAACGTTATTGTCAGAAATGCATAACCTCGTTCTAATCATGAGAAAACTTCAGACAAACCCAAATTGAGAGACATACTATAAACATAACTAACCAGTACTCTTCAAAAGTATCAAGATCATAAAAAACAAGGAAAGACTGAAGAATTGTCACATATTAGAGAAGACTAAGGAGAAATAACAATAAATGCAAGGTGGGATGCAGGATGGAATCCTGAAATAGAAAAAGTACGTTAGTGGGGGACACTGGTGAAATTTAAATAAGGTCTGCAGTTTAGTTAATACTATCACACTAATGTTAATATTTTGCTTTTGATGTTTGTAGTATGGTTATGTAAAATGTTAGTGTCGAGGGAAGTTGGGTAAGAGCTGTATGGGAACTCTCTATGCTATTTCTACAACTTTTCTCTAATTGGTTCAAAATAAAAGGTTAAAAAAATTGTTTAGAGCAAAAGAAGCATTATGAGGGTTGTAACTTATTTATAAGGAAAATACGTGATAGTGGTGAAAAGAGTGGGAAGAGGAGAAAGTAGGATTATTCCACTATGGTAAGAAGTGGTGTAATATTAAGTCACGGTAGACTAAGTTAAGGTTGCATGTTGTAATTTTTAGAGTAACAGCAACAAAATAGGAGATATAGCTAAAGAGCAAATGAAGGAGAAATACTCAATCTGAAAGGAGGAAAGAACGAAAAAACAGATCGAACAAATAGGAAACAAATGGCAAGATGATAGAACTAAACCCAACAATACCAATAATTACTTTAATTGTAGATGGATTAAACACCAGTTAAAAGGTAAGCTTGTCAAACTGGATTGAAAAAACAAGACCCACCCAACTATATGATAATCTCTCTACTAGAAAGTAAAAGCCACTTTAAATATAAAGATCCTGATAGATTAAAAGTAAAAAAATGAAAAAAATATACATACAAACAGATCATATGAAAGTTGGCATGGCTATCTTAATATTAGTTAAATAGATTCTGGGACAAAGGATGTTACGGGGATCTAGAAGACATTTCGTAATGATAAAGGAGCCAGCTCACAAAGGAGGCAAAACATTCCAAAGTAAGTAAGCACCTAATAACAGAGCTTCCTGACTCATGAAGTGGAGACTAACAGAACTAAAGGAAGAAATAGATAAATCCACAGTTAGAGTTGTAGAGTTCAACAATCCTTTCTCAGTAATTGATAAAATAAATAGAAAGAAAATCAGTAAGGTATAGAAGATTTGAACACTGGTTAATAACAGCTTAACCTACTGACATTTGTGGAGCACTACACCCAACAACTGTAGAAACTACGTTCTCTTTAAATGCACATGGAACATTTACTAAGATATACCATATGCCGAGCCATAAAACAAGTCTCAGTAAATTTCAAAGGATTGAAATCATAAAGGATATATTTTCTAAACAGCAGAATTGAATTAGAAGTCAACAACAAAAAGATATCTAGAAAATCCTCAAATACTGGAAGTTGCTTCTGGGTAACCCAGAGATCAAAAAGAAAATCACAGATGAAATTTGAAAATGTTTTGAACTGAATTAAAATAAAAACACATCATCAGAATTTGCAAGGTTAAAGTAGTGGTTAGAAGAAATAGTATAGTCTTAAATGCTTATATTTGAAAAGAACAATGATCTAACCTTCCAACTTAAGAAGCTAGGGAAAGAAGAACAAAGTAAAGTAAATAGAAGTAAGGAGGCAATAAAGATGAGAATGGAAATCAGTGAAATGGAAAATAGGCAAATAGCAGAGAAAAAAATTGATACCAATGGCTGATTCTTTGAAAAGATCTATAAAGTTGATAAATCCATGGCTAGACTGGTAAAGAAAAGGAAGGGGACACAAATTAACAAAATCAGGAATGAAAGAGGGGACATCAGTACAGAGCCTACGCATACTAAGAAGCTATTAAAGGAATATTATGAACAACTTTACGCCAAAAAATTTGACAGCTCTCAGATGAAATGCACAAATCCCTTGAAACATAAATTAGAAAACAGACACAAGAAGAAATAAAATCTCTGACTAGCCCTGTATCTATTTAAAATTTTTGAATTTGTAATTAAAAATGTTACTGCCATTGGGGCTGGCCCCGTGGCCGAGCGGTTGAGTTCGCGCGCTCCACTGCAGGCGGCCCAGTGTTTCGTTGGTTGGAATCCTGGGTGCAGACATGGCACTGCTCATCAAACCACGCTGAGGCAGCGTCCCACATGCCACAACTAGAAGGACCCACAATGAAGAATATACAACTATATACCCGGGGGCTTTGGGGAGAAAAAGGAAAAAATAAAATCTTAAAAAAAAAAAAAAAAATCTTACTGCCAAGAAAAATCTAGAGCTAAATGACTTCAGTGTGAATTCTATCAAATATTTAAGGAAGAAATAATACCCATCTTATACAAACTCTTTCAGAAAATAGAGGAAGAGACAACACTTAACAGTTCATTTTAAGAAACCAGCAAACTCTGATTATCAAAATCAGATAATGACACTGTTTGACAAGAAAATAGAGACCTAGTATCCCTCATGAGCATAGATACAAAATCCTCAACAGGGGCCGGCCCAGTGGTGCAGCGGTTAAATTTGCACGTTCCACTTCTTGGCAGCCTGGGGTTCACCGGTTCAGATCCCAGGTGTGGACATGGCACTGCTTGGCAAAAGCCATGCTGTGGTAGGCGTCCCACATATAAAGTAGAGGAAGATGGGCACGGATGTTAGCTCAGGGCCAGGCTTCCTCAGCAAAAGGAGGAGGATTGGCAGTAGTTAGCTCAGGGCTAATCTTCCTCAAAAAAAAAAATCCTCAACAAAAAATTAGGCTATCCAATCCAGCAATATTTTAAAGTATAATACATCATGATGAAATAGGATTTATCCCAAGAATGCAGAGTTGATTTAATATTCAAGTATCAGTCAGTGTAACTTGTCATAGGATCATCTCAGAAGATGAGGAAAACTTATTTGACTACATTCAGCCCCCATTTGTGATTTAAGAAAAAACAAGACAGAACTCAGCACAGTAGGAATAGAAGCAAACTTGCTCAATATGAGGAGTTAGGAGTATTATGCGTAGTATTATGGGAGGAAACAAGCCATATTAGGTGAAGGACCATTTAGGTATCTGATAAGATATCTACTGGATAAGATAAATAAAGTGTGATCACAAAATGAGATTTCCATAAATGTTATTCACAATAAACAATCAAATGTCTTTAATGTTATGTACTAGGTCGTTCTTTTCCTCCATTTTTCAGCTTCTGCTTGCTCCCACCACCCCTGTTCAACATTGTGCAGAGATCCTCGCTAGTGCAATAAGGCCAGAAAAATAAATAATAAAGATTAAAAAAGAAGAATTAAAGTTGTGTCTGGATTCACAGATGACAAATATACAGAAACATTTTGAGGAATTTACAGAAAATTATTAGAATTCATAAGTGAATTTAGCGAGGTCACAGGATAAATGATCAGTATTAAAAGATCAATGAACAAATTGAAAGTGAAATTTTAAAATGCGTTTACAGTGGTATAAAAAATGCAATTCTTATGGGTAAATTTAATGAAAGTGTCTGAGATCTGTACACTGAAAACTGCAAACCTTGCTGAGAGAAGTTAAATCCAAAATAAATGGACAGACCAACTTCATGGATTAAGATGTTGATGCTCCCCAAAATGACCAATAGATTTAATGCAATACAAGTCAAAATACCAGCAGGTGTTTTTGTAAAATTTGACAAGCTTATATGGAAATGCAGAGAACCTAAAAAAGCCAAACAGTCTTGAAAAAGAAGAACAAGGTTGGAAGACCTGCAGTGCCCAAATTCAAGACTTAACGGCGAAGCTGTGTTCATCCAGGCGGTGTGGTATTCCTGTGCGTCTTGAAAGTGAAATTTAGACATCATGATTCTTTGCATAAGCCAGGATTTTAAAATTCATTCGACAGCAAGTCGTTACTGAGCTTAAATCTACCCTGATTATTATGAGAGGAAACAAGCCATATTAGGTACAGGACCGTTTATGCATCTGATATTTATTGGATGAGATAAATAAGATGTGATTGCAAAGTGAGATTGATTTCCATAAATGTCATTCACAATAAACAATCATGTCTTTAATATTATACCTTAGGTAGTTTTTTTTTTCCTTCTCTGTTTTTTGTTTTCAGATTTTCTCTAATGATGAAATATTAAATTTACAATAGAACTAATAAACTTTCTTTTAAGTTGAAACTTTTAGAAAGTAAGATTCCTGTTATAAGCAAGTACAGTAGGAGGTAGAGAGAGACAGCTGAATCTTGTGGAATGGATAGAATTTGGATGTGGGGAAGTGAGAGGACATTTTTAGATGGAGAAAACCTCGTTCATTCATCAGGAGTCTGCATGCAAATTCGGCAATGAATAAAACATAAGTCTAAGCCTTCCTGGACCTTATGTTCTAGTGGGGAGAGGCAGAGAGTAAACATCATAAATAAGAAAAATACATACTATCTTATATGGTGATAAATGCCAGGAAGAAAAATAAAACAGGAAAGGGAGATAAGGAGTCAAGGGTAGAGGACTACAATTATAAATAAGGGTGCTCAGCGAAGACTTCTGTTGAGAAGCAGACAGTTTAATACAAATTAAGGACATGAGTAGTAGCCCATTTGGATATCTAGGAAGAGTACTCTAGGCGGAGTAAACTCATATATGAAGCAAGCGCACGCACACTGGATTTGAGAAAAAACAGGGAGACTGGTATGGCTGGAGCAGACAGAATGAGTTAGTAGAAGGAGAGGTTGGGGGAAAGGCAGATTATAGAGCCTTGGAGGCAATTTTAAGAATCTTGCCTTTTATTTGAAAAAATATTGAAAGCCACTGCAGAGGTTTTTGAGCAGGGTGACATGTTCTGATTTAACAGTATTATTCTGGATGCTTTGAGGATAAACTGAAGGGACATAAGCATGGAAGCAGAGAGACCAGTTAGGAGGCTATTGCAGGACTTCAGGCAACAAATAATGGTTGCTTGAATCAAGTTGGTAGCAGTGGAGGTAATAAGAAATGGTCAGATTGGTGTTCATTTTAAAGGTTGAGGCAACAAAATTTGCTGGGGGATCAGATATGAGGGGCAACATGAGAGAGAAAGAAGAGTTAAGGATGACACCCAACTTTTTCGCTGAATAATTAGGAGGATTGAAATGCCGTTAACTGAGGTGCAAAAAAATGTCAGATAAACAGATTTGGAGGAAATTAAGAGTTTAGTTTTACACAGGTTCGATTTGAGATACACATTAGACATCTCAGGTGTAGCTAGTATGCAACTGGAGTTTAGAGTTCAAGAGAAGAGGTCCAGTCTGGAGATAATAACTTGAGAGTTGACAATATATAGATGTATTTAAAGCCATGAGATTGGATGACATCACTAATAGGGTCAAGAAGAGATCTGAGGCCTGAGTCGCTCCAGTATTAAGAGATGAGGGGAGATGGGAAGGAACCAGCAAGAGACTAAAAAGGAGCAGCTACTGAGGTAAGAGGAGAATCAGGAGAGTATGTTGTCAAGGGAACCAAGTAAAGCATTTCAAAGAGGAAAAAGTGATCAACTATATCAAGTGCTGTTGATAGTCAAGTAAGATGAGGGTGGAGAATTGACATTAGATTCCTTGATGACTTGATAAGAGCAGTTGTTGGGACAAAAGCTTGATTGGAGTGGGTTTAAGAGTGTATGGAAGTTGAGAAAGTGGAGGCAGCAAGTACTGTATAGACAACTGTTTTTGAAGAGATTTGCTATAAAGAGATATAGAGAAAGATGTGGTCACTAAGGGGAAAGTGGGAGTAAAAAGAGTTATTTTTATTTTTTAAGGGAGAATAACAGTATATTTATATACTAGTGAGAATAGTCTGGTAGAGTGGGAGAAACTATGCAAGAAGAAAGTCAGAATTGCTGGAGTGAGGTACTTGAGAAGGCCAGAAGGAATAGGTTTCAGAGCACATTTGTAGAGTTTGTCTTTTGCTAACATCTGATGTGTGTTGGGGATCACCAAGACCATCCCCAGGCTTCATTCTCCAGAAGGACTCAGGACTCAGCATATAGTTATACTTATGATTTATTACAGTGAAAGGGTACAGAGCAAAATCAAAGAGAAAAGGTGCATGGGATGAAGTCCAGAGGAAAACCAGATGCAAGCTTCCAGAAGTCCTCTCACAGGGGAGTTACACTGGATGCATTTAATTCCTACAGCAGTGAATTGTGACATGTGTGAAGTGTTGTCTACAAGAGAAGCTCCTTAGAGACTCAGTGCCCAAGAGTTTTACTGGGGGCTGATCATGTAGACACCCTCTGTCTAGCACATACCAAAAGCCCAACCAGAAGGGCAGCAGGGTTCAGCATAGACCATATTGTTTGCAAAACAGTTTCAGCACTGTGGGCTCTTCTTATCGTTCAGGTAAGGATGAGAACCCCTGAAATCTAAGGTCCCAGAACCAGCCTCCTATGCAGTCTGTTCTAAAGATAGCAGTCTCAGGCCTGCTATGTTAACTCTTTTTCTTCACAAGGTCCAATTTATTCATAGTAACAGGAGAAAAGACTGACATGAAGGATCACCGTGGAGGGTGATGAGCAAGTTTGGTGGTGGAATTGAGGATACTGCATGGAGACAGAAAAGATATTTCAGAAAGGAATATTTGGTGAAAAAATGAAATACCTAATTGTCAGTGAATAATGTTATGAAATGCTGGGGGTTTTTTTTTTCAACCCAGGTGCACAATAGAGAGGAATTTGATGAGATAATAAGTATCAATTTGATGAGGTAGTATATTGCTGTGGCAATAATTGTTCCGGCTTTTTTGTAATGTTTCCAATTTTAAATAAATGACTTCTTGTATTCTATAAAATCTCATATTCTGATATATACCAAATATAATTACATCTCTTACATGCAATGTAACAAGTGATAAAACATGATTAGCTAGACAAGGTGTTTTGATTTTGGTTTAGAAAACCAAAGCATAGCTGTTAAAAATGTTTGGCAGAACACAAAATAATATGTATACACTAATCACGAGTATATGAAAATGTATTTCTCTATCTTGTGATGAGAGGTTGTATGAATAGTTTAATTTTCTTTTTTCTATAAAATTACTCAGAGAGAAGTATTTAATATTTTTATTGTGATACTAAGCCTTAATTATGCCTTGGTGAAATTTTTTTTAATAGGGTCAAGAATTTGCTCCAAAAAGTGTGGCAATAATTGGTCATTCTATGGGCGGCCTTGTTGCAAGAGCATTGCTTACACTAAAAAATTTTAAACAAGATCTGATAAATCTCCTTATTACACAAGCCACACCTCATGTTGCTCCTGTGATGCCATTAGATCGTTTTATTACGGGTGAGTACTGTTACATAAACACCAACTGACCTCCCCATTGCTGTTCAGGATTAAACAGATCCTTGCAGCTGCCCTCTTTAGAGTGTGCTACAGATTTATCCATGTGTGAAGTGCTCAGTTTCAAATCTGCCACTCCAATTCTGAGCATCTCTCTTTGTAACTTTCAACTTAGGCTCATAATTGACACCGCTGTTAGTTTTCTTTGTCCATAGCATCTTAACATGGATTGCATGTGTCTTATAATCCCTAGGCACTTTGACTTCAATTTAGTTATTCTTGAGGATAACTCCTGGTCTCTTAAAGTGTGTTTATACCTCCTATGTTTTGTTAACTCTCCCAGTACCCCTCAAAGTAAGGTTATACTTAAGTAAAACAGTAGAAATGTCTTGTTTTAAATAAATAGGTCTGCTAACACTTTTTATAGTGAGGTAGAATTGCTAATATTTATTAAGCTCTTACTGTCTTTTGGTGTTGCGTTAAGGTGTTTACATGATGTGTTATTATGTCACCTAATCTTTACAGCAGTCCTTTGAGGTAGGTACCATTGTTATCCCCATGTTTATGGATAGACAAAAGAGGCCAAGATAAAGTTCTCGCCCAAAGTCACATGGCAGGAGAATAGTGGAGCCGGTATTTGACTCTGGCAAACTTGTTCCTGAGCCTGTGCCCTTAACCTTTGCGTGCTCTACTGCCTGTTAATTGAGGCACATTACTATAACAGACGAAATCAAGTTAGGATTAATTCTATGATGTTGTAGGGAATTTTGAATAAACTGTGGGAGTTTATGATTGCTGTCATCTAATCAAATAGTGATAATGTCACAGAATAAGAATTAAATGCCTGCCATGTCAACTTTTTGTTAAAGAAAGTCAAGTATTATCTTTACTGCTTATTGGAATATTTTATGAGTAGAAGAAAATCTTTAGAAAGAGATCATTCTTTTCAGTAAATTTGCACAACTTCCTACCCTATCAGCATTTGCATTATCTTAATTGTGATGAAAATTTTATTTATAGTTATCTAAAATATATCTTAGTGACTCCAAACCAAAGTGGTTTTCCAAAGCGCTGTTCCTAACATAACGTTGCCAAGGAGTAACTTACTTGCTGGAATATCTGGTACATCAGTACTTACTGTGAAGTTTGATTTTTTTCCTTATTACATTTAAAACTTTGCCTGTAGAAATCTTTTAATAAAAAATTTTAGTTTTCTTATTGAAGTTGTTTAAATCTGTTTTACTAATTCTAATAATTATTAGGTTTAGGAAAAAAATTAAAGGCATAGACAAGTCATAATACTTGTTAACACACAAGAGAACTCTTTCTCTTACTGTGTTTTATATGGTGTATGTAGATGAGCCATGTGGATTAAATTAGTATTACGCAAAATACATTTTTAAAAATTCATTGAGGGGGCCAGCCCCAGTGGCCTAGTCATTAAGTTTGGCGCACTCCACTTCAGCAGCCTGGGTTTGGTTCCCAGACGCAGACCTATACTGCTCTTTTAGTGACTGTGCTGTGTTGGCAGCCCACATACTAAAATATAGAGAAAGATTGGCACAATGTTAACTCAGGGTGAATCTTCCTCAGCAAAAAAAATTCTTTGAGGGAAGAATTTTCAAGAAAGTCAGGTTTTATTGTTTTGAAAGATAGTGATGATCTGTCTCCAAAAATCTCAGACTGAAAGTGATTTTTAGGATCAGTGTGCTTTCCCCTAATTAAGCCTCTTTCCCATTTATTCTGTATTTATTTTTTATTGCATTAAACCAGAATTAGAATGAAAAAACAAAAGCTCATGGGTTGGTGGATTTTAGGCTTTTAGGAGACAGACACTCATATTACCTCTGGAAGTAGATTCCCTGTTCATACTTGGTGGAAATGCTGCCCTTCAGTAGGGGAAATGAAACCCTACAGTGGGCTCTGCACTTTGGAGGGCCCTGCTCTGGTGCTGCCATTCCCCACAGGGGCAGGAGTGTACCGGCCAAGCAGCCTCCCCACTGGGAGGCTGTGCCTTTACTCCTAGACCATGGTTCAGGTAACCAGGCCTCCAGACTTTTCTTGCCCATATGCCCATGCCCACTTCCAGGGCCTATATGGGCCTCTTACCTGAATCTATCCTGGAGGCAGGTGTGTACAACCCTAAGCTTGAGTTTTGCATGAGGAACAGACAGAGCTTGGATGTGCACACAAGGTCTCTGTGATGCAGGATGGAATTGAGGAGGGAAGAGAGGAGGGTAGCACAGTGATGGGCCAGAGGTCTCCTCTCTCTATGCTGCCATGATCCAGCGAGCAACTCCGAGGTGTCCTAGAATTCTCAATTTGAACCTGGTTTTCCAGGTTATTTCAATGATATATTTGTCAAGGTAGGCAGGGAAAATATATTTGATTTAACATTTTGTTAACTGGAATTTTGACTTTTAAATATTTAGACATATGGCCGTATGTACCCCATTGGTACTCTTGTTCTAGGCCCTGCACATTTTAGGAATGGGGCTGCTTGTTCGCAATCTAAGTAAGTATTGCTGAGATTTTTAATGGGAAGAGTTTGCTACCCCAAAATGTTTGAAGCCCTCAATGGGTTCAAATGCCAGGGTCAAAATGCATTAAGTTTTGAAAATCAGAAGAGGAAATGAGAACTCTCCTGCCCTGGCCTCAAATCTTTGACACTAAAATTTTCTCACCTTCCATAGGTAAAGTAGAAAAATTGTCTGCAGATTCTTTCCTTTGAACTACTTGTTACAATAAATGGGTAGAACCTCTTTAACCCTCAGATTTTCTGTAGCAGCATATGTCAAGACTAATGTAAATGTCAGTGTCTTGATAGATTGTATTTTCAGAACTTAAAAAGTACTTTGGTCATGGTGAGCTGAAGTGGAGAGCTGCTAAGCCTTATAAGCAGGGACACTGGTATGATTAGGAAGACCTGCAGCTCTTTAATATAATAAACTCTTATCTGTGAAAGAATTTTAGTGTTTTTTCTTCTTGCTATGTTGTATATACTGTAGCTCATGAATAAGCAGCATCCTCGCGGAATGTAGGACTCACATGTGGGCTTATCAAAGCTAATAAAATTTGGATATCTTTTTTCTTTATTGATACCTTTGTAACTCATAGTATTTGTGCTCTGATTTAATAGGGAAGGCAGAATATATCTACAGAAATTGTTTTACTCAAAATGGAGAAGTATGAATAACATTGTTTATAGGTGATTCAGATGGCTTACACAGAAATTCAGTTCAATACTAGTACTGTAGATAGCTTATTGTTGCAGAGAATGACTCCTAATTTTTAATGTGTGTCTTTTTTATTTCCTACCAGATTTTTATATGACTGTAAACAATTATTGGATTCTAAATGCTAGACACATAAATTTGACCACGCTTTCTGTAGCTGGAGGATTCCGGGATTACCAAGTTCGTTCAGGACTGACTTTTCTGCCAAAATTAAGCCATCATACCAGTGCCTTATCTGTTGTGGTAATCTTTTTTAGATTCTACTCAAATCGTAATATGATGGACACAGTGAAGCATGAAAGGAGAAATAATAAGTAGTAGCTGCTTGGAAATGACTGCTGCGTTGATGTAGTACTGCTCTGTGTGCATGCGTGTGTGTGTGAGAGAGAATATGAAGGAAGGAATGGGACTATGTTGGGAAGGCAGAGGCATGGATGCTTATGTCCACAGAAAGTGAAAAGGATCTTAGAAGCTTTGTGAAAATGGTCTTATTTATGAGGAATAATTATTTCTTGTTCAAAGTAGTTGCCTATCCGTTGATTAGAGTTGTAAGTAAAAGAAAGTGTGGGCAGAAGTCCAAGGGCCTCTTGTTATATCTGAGTGGTATGCTATATACAGTAGTAGTGGAATATCAAACGTACCACATACTCCTGATTGCTGAACTTGAGTCAGGTTTTACCAATTTTAAAATTTAAAAATTAGCTTTGAAAATATAAACAGAACCTCGATTAATTAATTTTTTAATTATTCTTCCCTGCTAGGACATCAAGTATTTAGTCTTTAACTGGGATACATAGCCTCTGTAAAGTGAGTTCAAGTTTCCATTAGGACTTATTATTTCTTAGATATTTAACCTTGAAGTCTTCAGTTAAGATCTTAACATTTTAACTCAGTGTACACATCATCTCCAAATATAGCTTAATTTAATTTCTTAAGAGAAAATCCATAGAGTTCTTTTTGCTTTTTAGGAGATAGTGTTTTGTTTCATAGTTGTTCTCTTCATAGATACTCCTTTGCTCAGCTCATCTACTATTGCCCCATCTTAGATTGCTGTGCATTCATTAAACAGGTATTTACTGAATGCTTACTACACATAGAACAAAAATTATTAAGCTATTCTGCTGTTACCCACCATTTTCTTAAAACTGGAGGAGTTATGGTGTGGCCATAATAGCTTTGGAACTAGACTGGTAAATCTCTTAAACCTCATTATTGATATGAATCTTGTTATTTGATTTTAAATATTGTTGGCAGATATTTGCTGCAAGTCCTCAAAACACTAAATGTCCACTCTTTAGTAAACACAGATATTTTAGTCATGTAAAATTGGATGTGATCATTTCCTAGACTTGGTCTGGAGCATGATGCTGTATTGATACCACATCATGCAGTTTATCTTTCAAGAAACTAGTCTTTTTAATCGTGTGTGTGTGTGTGTGTGTGTGTATGTATGTATATATATATATATATATATATATATATATATGTATGTGTCCCTCTTTTCTAATCCATTTGATAATGTGTTGCTTTCAAGGCAGCTTGTATTTTCGATGAAAATATTTTACTTCTTAGGGAATTTTCTCAAAGCTGGATATTGTATAATCTGAGTTTTATTCACTTTAAAAAATAATTAGAAGTAACAGTTTTTAATGATTATCTCAAGAAAAGCAAAATGACATTTACGCCTTTTGGGACTAGAAAAATTATTTAAGTTAGAGACCACAGTTGTATTAGGGTAAGCTGAACTGCTGTAATATACTCTAATGAAGGCAACGGCACTCAAACACAATAGAAGTTTATGTTTTACTCATATAACTGCCCTAAGTGTGTAATTAAGTTGATGGGTGGTTTTTGAAGGAGTCCCATTAAGGGACCCAGGCTGTCAGTAGGCACCCCCTTCTTGAATGCTTTACTTCCAAGGCTGCTCTCATCATCACTATTTCTACCATGAGAACGGGGAAAGAGCATGGAGGAGAGCAGTCAGGCCTGGAAATGGCACACATCACTCCTGCTGTCATACTGTTAGAGAAAACTTAGTCACACCCTAGCGTAAGAGAGGCTAAGAGATGTAGTCTAGCCAAGAGTTTAAGAAAGGAAGAATGGATTTTGGTGGACATTCAGCAGTTTTCACCACAGAGATCATGAGCAACTAACTTTATTATTTGTGATGCCTTTCCCTTTTTCAACTCTAGCACAGATGCATTCATTACAGTGAATGCAAGTAAACCAGTTTTGTGTCCTTGGTAATGGTAAATGCTGTCTCCTCTGAGTTCTTACTCTACTGAGCAGCTAATATAATCTTAGAACCACAGTGAACTCTGGTTGTCTCAATTTTTTAGTAGACTGTCAGCAGTAATTGCTAAACATGAGCTCTAACGTTTAAAAGTTCAACACGTAAGATCCCTCTTGCTTTAAAGCCTGGAACCCAAGTACACATTGTTATTTGCAGAGTACAAGGGTGACAATGACTCCTTAGAAGTTATAAATCCCTACTTTTTTTCTTTTTTTAGCTCATTTATTAAAGAGACGTTTTAGGTTCTGTAAATTTTCTTGCATCTATGTTGTTAGTTTCCTATTTTCGTTTTGTTTTGACAGTTTATGGTGAGGGCAGCTCATTGTGTCTTCGATGATGCAGAGAGAGAGATTGTGAAAATAATATCAGATTTATTCAACATTCCCCTGTTGTATGTAAGATGCTATTCACAGGGAGGTCGTTAACCTGGTATGAAAAGGAATCTAGTTCTTGAAGGGTGCTGTGCCATTCTTAGGAAGCCTTTGCAAATAGTTATGTTTTTTAGTATCCGTTGTCCTTATGTCTCTAACCAATAATATATGTCCTAATCGTCTAGGGATTTTTTTTCAAAATAAGTTTGGACCTCACTTGTAAGAGTCTGATTTGGTAGGTTTAAAATTGTCTCCACACATATTTATTTTGAAAACTTCCTGGCCTGGGAATTTCATGGGCACATCCTGATTAAGAAGTAACATCTTAAAATTTATCAAATAGTAGTCTGGTCAGAACTGAAATTACTAAAATATCTATAGTAACTTACACATAAACTGTGATTTATTCAAGAATCTTATACTTAGTTCCTTATTACAGTAGTAAAGAGTTAGACATTAAACTTCAGTGAAGAATCTATGGATAGCTTTAATAAGTTTTAAAGGGTGATTTAAGCTTGACTGAGCAGTAATGACAGAGAATTATGTTATTTTTTGCAGGAAATACCTTAATATTTTTGGACCACTTTTTGTAAGAATGCAACATTTAGAAATGTCTATGCATTATAAAATAGTAAAACTAATGTTACATGTGTCTAAATATTAGCTTGTAAGAATTTCAAACCTTTCAGAGAATAACAAATGTGCTTTGACTTTTGGCTTTTTTCCTTTCCTTTAGAGTTCAGCAGTGCCTAAGACCTGGGTCTCAACTGACCACCTCTCCATCGTGTGGTGAGTTAATATAGCTTATTTTGGTGATTTGTAGTGGTCCTCTTTTCTTATCAGTGCATTGATTGGTTTGTTAGCTTTCTTAGAGCTTTTTCCGTAAATAAATAAGGATTTGTGAGAAAGATTAACTTAGGTACTTAGAACTCTAACCTTGGTTCTTGTCTCGGTTTGATGAAGGTTCCTTTAACAACTCATAAAATCATCTCCCAAAGAACCGGTAGCATTAGTCTCAAATGAAGCTAGTGTTAAATATAAAAATTTTAGAGTTTGTCATAGTTGGACAGAATCAGTTGCATTTGTGGTAGGACTTTCTGAGCCCTTGGCCAATCACCAAACTCAGGGACTTGATTAATGCAGCGTTGACTATTCTAGGCAGCAGCACATGGAAAACTAACTAGGAATTAGATTTACCCTTAATATAAATAAAGAAAGAAATAGCTTAAATATGGGTCAAGAAATACATAGGCCCTATTATTTTCTCTCTCTGTTTTGGCTTAAAGATGCTGTTTTCACCTTCTTCTGGCTGTGCAATAAGTGGTGCCTGCAAGAACCACAACAGTTCAGGCATATAAAGATGGGCCAACAGTTCGTCAATAGCTGGGGTTAGACAAGGAGATCAAGGGGAGACAGAGGGAACCTGACAGTTCTACTGTCAAACATCCAGGAAGATTTAATTTGCTTTATTTTATATGTGTCAGCTTTAAGGTAGATGCTTAATAATGATTTGTGAAATAATTTTAGAGGTTACAGCATTAAAGGAAACTCAGATATTCTGTTAAATAATAGAATTGTGTGTGTTTGTATCAAAAGTGTATTTTTAAAGAAAGTTTCATTTGTGACAATTTTAATCTTTAGGTGTAAACAGTTGCAATTGACTACAATTCGAGCGTTCTTTGATCTTATTGATGCTGATACTAAACAAGTATGTATTTTAAACTAAAAATTATTTCAGTAAAGTAAAAGCTTTTGTTACAGCAGTGATAGATTTAATACTTTTTTTTTACTTTGGTGAAAATAGAAGCCTACACCTTATATTACTGTAATTAGACTCAAAATATCTTTATTTTTGTCTGCTAATACTTTGACCACTGTTAGTAATTGATAGAATGCAATGAAAATGAAAAAGTGAAAGGATATCTTAAATGTTCCCCCTGTTCTTCCCCTTTATTATTTAAAATTTTATATATGTCCTTCTAACTTCTTTTAACTTAATAGAAATACTTATTACAAGCTATTTTATCATTTTTTTAATACGTTGTAGACTTATGATCTATCTTATTATTTTTAAATTTTTTAAAAAATATCTTTATTTTTCTGATAGGATCAAAATATCTACATTCATTGAGTAACCCAAGCTTACCAGACTTAGATTGTGTACTTCTAGAAGCTGAACCTTTTCTGTAATGAGATTTCACGTATAAAGTCTCCAAACTAGTGATTTTTCAAGTTCTTCAATTAGCAGGAAACCCAGAAATCATAGTGCCCTTTATAGGAACATCATATTTCTCTTTTATCTCTTTCTTGTCTGCTAGCAGATAAATAGTAGTGGGCACCAAAGATTTCAGCATAATTCAGAGAATTCTATCCATTAACAAATTTTTGTTTTATCAATTGGGAATATTTGCTGTTACTCATCTTAAGTAGCCTTTCACCTCAGCTCTTGCAGCACGTCACTGTTCCATAGAAACACGTTCTGTGAACTATGGCTCTGGCCTTTCCTTGTGGAGAAGTTCCTCGTGTATTAGGCAATTCTTTTCATTATGCAAAGCATTGCAACCCAGATATTTATGGATTCTGTCCCCTGAAGGCTCCAGATCTTTGAAAGACTAGTACATGTGACCTCTTCTTCAGTAGATCTCTAGGCAATGCTCTCCTTATCATCGTGTCTTTGAATCTTGCTCCTGTAGCCTTCTCTCTTGGGAATGGGATAGTGTCTGTATTTTTTTCCTTAACCCTCCAGAAAGCTGCTTAACTACTAGTAGAGGGAATCATAGATACATAGCTCTCTCCTGAAGAATGCAACAAAAGAGAGACCCAAATCGTTCTGTGTTTTACCACATTTTAAGCCATAAGGTACCATATTTAAGTTAGTATATTTATTAAAGTAAATCAGCTTCGTAGAGTTATCACTGTGAATTGGTCATGGAATGCAAACATTTTTCATTTTTCAATGTTGTTTTAATTGTGACTTCCAAAGGGACTGAAAAGATTTAGTGGATCTGGTCCTCACTGTCATTTCTTTGTCATTCTCTCACTTTGTTGTTGAGAAAATCACTTGCCTGTTAGGACCTCAATGCTTAAACTAGAGAATTGAATAGTGAAAATTCTAAATGGATTTTATACCCCAGTACATTTTTTTTTCAAAGGGAAGGACTGATACAAGGTTGCCAACATTTATTGTGCTAGGATGTTTTAGGACAGACAATAGAAAAATCCCATTGTCTGCTTTCATTTTCATTTCATGAAAGAAAGGATATTGATGGAAGGAAAGTAAAAAGGACAGAGTAAAGGAGAATATTTTCCAAGGAAGGACAGTTGGCAATTCTTGTTTTCTCTAGTGACCAGGAATTCTTTGTTGTGGGATTGGCCCTGGTCTGAGCTTGGAAACTAGTGTGTTGGAATCACTAGACTGGAGGTTCTCTTAAGTTCTCTTCTGGTTCTGTATGTCTTTATGTGTTTTATTCTTAACTGTTACTCGAGAGGCACTATTGCGTAGTGATTGAAGGCCTGGATTCGAGCCAGACTGCTGGGTTTGAATCCTGGCTCAGACTCTTAACAGGAGTGTGGCCTTGGGCAAGTTCCTTAATTTCTCTGTGCTTTAGTTTCTTCATATTTAAAATGCAGATAAAAAGGTTATCATCCCCTAGAGTTCTTATAATCATTAAATGAGTTAATAACATCTTAAGCACTTAGAATAGTGCCTGGCCCAGAGTAAGTAACTTTTTGGCTCTTATCATTATTACTTGAAACAAAGTTTCATTGAACTATCACAGTGGATATAAAAGGATACAGAATGTATCACTGTTCTTTCTAGATAACTCAAAATCCTAAGAAGAAATTGTCAGTATTGAATCACCACTTTATAAGACACCCAGCAAAACACTTTGAGGAAAACCCAGCAATAATTTCTGACTTAACAGGTTGGTGATAATAATATGTTTTAATTTTAAGTGCAGTTTTGATTATTATTTTTGGGTAAATTTGTTATTAGCAGACGAAGTCTGAAACTGTGGTACTTCAGGTACTATAATCCTATTATATTAATTTCTCTATAATGGTTTCTTATGAGATTTGGTTAAAGAAGGGAAAAAATAGAAAAGCAGTTTTTAAGATGTTGCTGATAAAAGTTTTGTCCTGAAAATAACATAAATGGAAAATTTTTAAAGCTGGAGTTAAATGTCTTCATTCTCCTGCAAGTCATATTTTACATGACTCTATTATTTATGTACTCTGTTATTCTTTACTTAGTTTCTCAGTATCAGTCACTCTTCAGTCTTCTTTTGGATTAACACCTTATTTTCATTGGTAAATTTTGCTTTTAAATATAAAACCTGTCATACTCTACTTAATTACTTGCCTTGTCTGGAAAATAAAATATTAATTTCCATCTGTTGATACTTCCTTAAGAGTTAAAGACATCATTTTAAATCAAGTAGATTTAAAATGCTTAACTTGATGTGATTGCTAGTTGCTGATGAGTATACAGAGAGCATCTTACTAGATTTTCTATTTTAAAATAGTCAGTGTTCCACAAACCACTTCTTTTTCAAATTCTGTTATGATTGAGAAATATTTCACCAACATTCAATAAAAGAAATTGTTTAATTTTTTTTTAAAAAAAACCCAAGCAAATCAATTTTTTTTTACTTTAGGAACATCTATGTGGGTTCCAGTAAAAGTGTCCAAATGGACGTATGTGGCTTACAACGTAAGTAGACCACCAGTAGGTTTTTTTACTTAAAAAAAAAAAAAAACCTGTAGTATTTATTTTTGAAAGTTAAAGACTCTAAAAAAGATAACCACATATCGTTTTCCCCACATTAAAATAATTTAATAATAATTCCTTAATAATAAATATCTAGTCAGTGTTCAATTTTCCAGTTTTATCATAACTGTCAAATTTTTGTTGTTTCTTTGTTTTTCAGTTTGTTTGTTTAAATCAACATACAAACAAGGTCCACAGGTTATTTGTTGATGTCTCTCATCCCTCTTTTAATCTCTAATGCTTCCTCCCCTCCTTTTTATTCCTTACAGTTTATTTGTTGAAAAATACAAGTCATTTGTCCCGAAGAGTTTCAAAGTCTTGATTTTGCAGATTGCATTCCTGTAGTATCATTCAGCGTATTCATTTGCCTGCTTTCCTGTGACTCAGTAGTTGGATCTAGACACTTGATCAGATTCAGGTTTTTAGTTTTGCTGGACTGGCTCTCTTTTTATGTTGTTAGCAGCTATTGATGAAGAATGCCTGAAGTCATTAACTCATTTAAGGGGATGCAAAAATGATGATACTGTAATTTGATTATTCCTTCTTCATATTAACGGGAACACTATATAGAAAAATTTCTCATCTGCTAAATTTATCAAAAGTGGAACAAATCATGAAGAAAAAAATGACAGTTGCTTGGATCTTTGGGTCTCATATTTTCTGGTTTTCAGAATAGTAAGTCGGCTCACAAATGTCCTCCATCAGTGACTGTAAGAAGTTTTAGGGTTATTTTTGTGCGGTATTATTATGAACTCATAGATTTAAACGTATTTGTATTTCCATCTAAACTAAAATACTAAAAGTGTTCTACCTTTGATACTAAAGTTGATATTAAAATTGTTTATCTTTGACCCATGGAAGCCATTTCAAGTTAGGCTCCTGAATCTTTTTGATATAGCTGCTCTTTAGCTGTCTTTGATAGTTTCCTCACTGTCTAGTGTGAGAAGATATTTCAGCTCATTTTGTAAATTTCCTGCCCCAGTCCTTGCATCAGCTTTTCCTATAAGGAGCTCTTTCTATTATTTGGGAAATGATGTCTAAAAACCATAATTTGGGCACTAGAAATGTTTATGGCTAATAGGTTAGCATCTCTAGGCCTTTTCAGTGGACAGAGCTAAGGAATGTATTTTATCTTGACTGTGAGGTCAAAAACCAAACCAAAGCAAAATAAATTCATTCACACTCATAGTTCTGTGACATATTCAGGACTACATGGTTTATACTTGATCTCTCTGCCTTACATCTGGATCTTCTTCCCATTCCCAGAATATTGGTTCTCAACAACACCAAGAATCATAAAATTAGGACAATTATTCATTGCTTCATCTGGATTTTTGAATGATGAAATTATCCACTCTTATGATAGTTGTGTTGTGTTTTCCCTCTTTTTTTTAGGAGTCTGATAAGATCTATTTTACATTTCCTCTTGCAAATCATAGAAAAATCTACACTCATGTTTATTGTCAGAGCACCATGCTGGTAAGCTAATTCATATATTTTATGTCAATTTAAAAGGGTAACTATTGTTCAGTTTTCACATTCAACTAATATCTAGTAGATCTCATCTTTAGCTATAACTATTATTAAATCTAATTAGTTGAAAAATATTTGATTGAAAAGTATTAATCAAAATGTTTTCCATAACTAATAATACACTATTAAATTACACCTTTGGCTCTAGTTGAGGTCTTCCGCCCTGTCTTTCTACCTTAGTTTAACTATGTTTAGGATGAAGGAATTCAATTCAAAGCTACTTTACTTCTAAAGTTCTATTAGTACTTTAAAGAATAGACATATTTAAGCAAAGCTATATTCTGTAGGAATTTTATAAAGTAAATCCTGTTTTTCCATTGGCTTTCATACTAAAATTTCTAGTACTTTTATACCAAATATTCTCTAGAGTAGTTTAGTAACTGTTATCGTTATTTATACTTACAGCATCAGAGTGATGATTTTGTTTGTGTATTTTTTAATGAGTACCTACTGTGCTAGGCATTGTAAAAAATGTTAGGTGCTGTTGCATACTTTTGTTAATTAAGAATGTTTAAATAGGGGGCTGGCCCCGTGGCCGAGTCGTTAAGTTCACACACTCTGCTTCAGCGGCCCAGGGTTTCACCAATTTGGATCCTGGGCACAGACATGGCACCGCTTATCGAGCCATGCTGAGGCAGCATCCCACATGCCACAACTAGAAGGACCCACAACTGAAAATATACAACTATGGACCAGGAGGCTTTGGGGAGAAAAAAGGAAAAATAAAATCTTTAAAAAAAAATGTTTAAATAATATTTTAATCACTTATCAACATTTCTTACTTTCAGGAATTTGTTTCCCAATTTGGATTCTTTTCTCTCTGTTCTGATTTGTTTTTGGCATGCCCCAGGATTCTTCACTTTATTTTTGCATCTTTCATAGTTTGAGTTCCTCCTTCTCCCTTTTTTAGGGTTATTTCTATTTTTTAGAACTAGGATCTAATGTATCTCTTAGATACATGGTAGATGCTGCCATTTGATATGTACCAAAGTTGGGTTTTTTTTCTTCTGAGGAAGATTAGCCCTGAGCTAACATCTGCCACCAGTCCTCCTCTTTTGCTGAGGAAGACTGACCCTGAGCTAACATCCGTGCCCATCTTCCTCTACTTTATATGTGGGACACCTGCCACAGCATGGCTTTACACGGAGTGCATAGATCTGCACCTGGAATCTGAGCTGGTGAACCCCAGTTCGCTGAAGCAGAACGCAGGAACTTAACAGCTGCGCCACCAGGCCAGCCCCCCAAAGTCTTGAGAAAGGATAATAGGCAGGCGTAGTGGACTAGGTGCTGATGAATACTGATTTTAGTGAAATTAGTAGAGTTTTGCATCTCTCACAAAGACTAGCATCTCTCAGCCTAAAATCTAGATGGGTAATTTATCCCAAGAGAATCTGGCCCTGAGAGTTATGGCTTAAAATATCTATACTCATTACTAAATTTCAAGTCATGATGTCAGTATTATATTGAGAAAAATCCTTGCCAAAGTGCAAATTATCCATTTGGCTTATTGGAGGATCTGTTTTCTGTAGTTAATGTCCATGGGTATTAATTAGCATAAGATCATGTGGTGAATTTTTTTAAATCTTTTCAATTTTTATTATAGAAGTTTTCAAACATACAAAAGTAGAGAGAAAATACAATATTGAGTTCTCACGTAACCATCACACAGCTTTAACCAACATTCTGCCATTCTTACTTCATTTATCCCTTCCTTTTTTTTTTGACTGAAGCATTTTTAAAGCAAATTCTAGGCATTTTATTATTTCATCCATAAATACTTCAATATTTTTTAACAGATAAGAATTATACACATTCCCATAATACCGTTATTTTATCCAACAAAATTACTATTTCCTTAATATCAGGTAGTATCCGGTTCAGTTTTCCTCTGTTGGATTAAATTTTACGTTAGCTTATCTGAATCAGAATCCGCAGTGCACACACATGCATCTGCATCCGCTGCATGGATCTTAAGTCTCTTTTATAACAGCCCTCTCTTCCTTTCCCCAGGCCGTTCATTTGTTCAAGACAGTGAGTTATATGTTCTATAGAATTTCCCACATTCTGTGTTTAGCTGATTGTGTTGTTGTTGAATCTTTAGCATGTATTTCTATCCCTCATGTTTTCTGTAAACTGGTATTTAGATCTAGAATCTTGATTAGATTCAGATTCGTTTTTTGTGGTAGGAATGTTTTATAAGTAGAGCTGTGTACTTATCTCATCAGGAAGTATGTAATATCTGGTTGTCCCACTTTCAGAGACATAAAGACTTACCAGTGAAGTCAGGTGGTATCAGCATGATCTAGCCATTATAAGATTCCTAATCAATCTTTTACCTAAAGATTTTAGCAGCTATCAAGGGCATCATTTTTCACTTAGACAGATTTTTGTTTTAGATCTATAAATTTTATGATCAAGTAGAATTTTCTTTTCTCTGTAGTTCAGGAATGAGTTGGCAATTCCTGAGTGACTTTTTAAAAAGATTTTCAATACAATTTTTGTAATTAGTTGAGTTAGGGGTGTTTACCAGATGAACTGAAATTGTTCTTTTTACACCTTCTAGGTTATATCAGCACAATGTTTTAGGGTGGGCTTGAATAATACTTTATTCGATCTGTTGATGAATTAGTCAGAATTCCCTGTACACCGAAGTAAGTAGTGTGGAATATTGGCAGTTTTCATAATAAGGGCTATCCTTGACGATAGGCTCCCTTAGTAGCTTCAATAACCTATTACAAAAGTGGGTTGGATCTTGAGAGGCTGCTGGTTCTTTGTCTAGGCTGTGCAGATCTGTTCTGTTGCCTTGCTTTATAATGCCCCATTGTTTTGGGAAGCAAAGGCAACTGATACCAAAGTCTCACAAGTATTTCGCCAGCAGTGGAGAGCAGAGAAAGACCACATTGTTTTTTGTTTGTTTCTTTTCAGCTTTCTTTTCTGTGTTCTTGAAAAATGTCTTAAAATTTTATTTAAGCTCCATGAAGGCAGAGACTATTTCCTCCTGATTCATGATTTTCCTTGAGGGCGTAGCATAATTCCGTGGCCCTGGAATAGACTTTATAAATATCAGTTGAATGAAAGGATTGATTCTTTTATTGTCCTACTGTATACTAAGGACAAGTTTATGTAGCTATCTGAGCAGTGTTTCCGATCCTCTTATGCCCTGGTAGGGCTTCAGTAGTTGGATCATCAGATCATGGGGTATTGCTCTCACTACTTCCTTAAAAGTTGGAGTGAAGTTGTTAGGTCATACTGCTCCTAAATGACTGAAGCTAAATTTATAGTATTGTTAAAATATCACAACCATCTCTAGCATTCCTGTGCTGCACTGATAAATAAGTAACTAGCTTCATCTTTAGCCCTTGGAATTATGCTTCAATACACACACATTCTCAGTTGCATAGAAGTTATCTGCTTGGTAATCAAATTAGAACTCAAATGGTAAACTAAAAGGCTTTATTTTGATTAATTGTTATTTTTTATTACTTGGCTCTAGATTGTTTACTGTTTGTATAAAAGTCCACCTGTAGTTGTTCGTTCTTCTATTTTGCTTAAAATATGGGTTGCTTACTACATAACTGCTGAACTCTGAAAGTGTTGTTTCAAACTCTGGAAATGCTTAGGCAGTATGCTGTGAAGTGACACCCATCAGGTCCCTCCTCCTCACACTGCTGCTCTGGGTTACTTGCTTACCTATGTTCACATTAGACTTCTTTGCTTACCTTTGATCTCTTTGATTTTTCAGAACTCCTTGGATACATTTTCAAATAACAAGTTGCGATTTTGTGTTTTCATTGTGCCCACTGACCCTGTCGTATAAGAGTAAAATGTTGAAGATGCCTATTTTATATAATTATTTTCTACAATATTTGTGTGCTTTGTTTTGTGTTATTAATCAACAGGATACAAATAGTTGGATTTTTGGCTGCATAAACAGCACGTCTATGTGGTAAGTCCTTTGAACCTAAGGCCTTTTCATTGTTCATTTTTCTCAACATAAACAGTCCTCACAAATCACACTTTTAGAATAGTTTCATACATTCCTAAGCTAATTTTGCTGCTATACTAAATTATATTTATTTTAAAATGAAAATTAAAGGAAATGAACACACCAGTACTTTTTGTAAACATTGGAATAGTTTGTTGCTAGGAAAAAAAATTTTTTGTTCCCAAAGGGACTATGTGGATAAAGTATATTGATTTAGACTTCAGTTCATTAGAACGCTCTCTGAAGGGTCTGTACATGGTTTCTTTTTCCTCTGAAGCTTACTTATAATTTACAATGCTTTATATTTTTGTCCTTTAATTCTATTTTCATGTTTATTTCAAAGCCGGCAAGGAGTTGATCTATCATGGAAAGCTGAATTACTGCCAACAATTAAGGTAAATTATGGCTTTAGAATTTTAATATGCAGGTGGAAAAATGCTTGAGCCTATAGGCATTTTAGAATATGTTCTTTTATTAGTTCATCTTGGTATTAAATAAACTTAAGATTTACTAAGAGATATTTTAGAAATATTTTCTCTAGAAATTTAATGGAGAATAACATGAATTTTTTTCTTTTTGGCTTTCAGAGGTAAAAAACTATATTAATCCTCTAAGTAAAATTAAACCTATATGTTATAGTATCATAACAAGAGCTAGATAAATTTTTTAATTCATTTTGAGGGTATGTTTGGAACGATCTGTCTTAAAATATAAGCTGAGTAGTATACTCAGAATTCATTTTGGGAGAGGACCTACAGTAGGGAAGTGAGCATCTCAAAGAGACACAAAGTAATTTTGCAGATCAGCTTCAACACCACTTTGTGGTCAAGCACTTGGATAACTATCTACTTTAGCTAGTACTCCACAGGATTTATTTAATAATTGTTAGTGATTTCGTAAAGGGACTCTAGTAGATCAGCAAGTCTTTATACAAAAGGCTAATTTGCAAACTCTCAAAATCTATTGTTGAGAAAATAAAACAATTCTAAAATTTGATAAAAATATCTCTTCTAATTTCCAAATTGTGTTTATAACTCGTAATCTTATGCCATGATTGATAGTTTTTAGTCTTCAAGTAAATCTGTACTTTAAAAATAAAATATATTTTTCTAATGAGTACTAGTCTCATAGACTTGAAGTCATCTGGTTGGTCCCAGTCATCTCCCGCTCCAATTCAGTTATTTGTGCTCATGAATGTTTATTTATCTGTATTCATAGTCAACTCTGTACTATACCAACAGAGAGGAATTATGACAGGATGAGTAATTGTAAGTCACTTACACTTGACTTTGGAATGGTTGCAGTTACTTTTGTGTCACCTTGGTCAGTCTTTGTGCGTATTCATTCATGTGGCTTTGTGTTTATGAGACGAATATCATAGGGAAGTGATTTGACTTATAAGAATATCTTTAAAGTCTTTCACTGATTCTGTCCTAACCTTCTAGGCAGGAGCAAAACAAACAAAAGTATCAGGATATACTTACTGATCAATCATTCATAAGATATATTAAATATTTTCTTGAATTTCCAGCTTGGATATCCTGTTCAATTTCTAAGAGTTAGGAAGAAATAAATGATTAAAAACTTGATACAATTTGACTTTGCTCCTATTTTTAAAAATTACTTCTTAAATCATAGAATCCTTGTATATTTTTTAGTCTCAAGGATTAAACAATGTATTCATCCAATACTAGGCACCTGTTTTGTTTGTTCTTAATGTAAGAAATAGCTGGCTGAACAGCAAGAGAACAAGCTATTCCAGCTGCTTCCTTTTTACAGTGAATGCTAGTAGATTGCCAGGCAGCGTTAAAAGCCTACTGGAATTTAGGGGGGAAAATGGAAGAGAGAAGTTAGAAAACAAGGATTATAATATTCTGCAATCTTAGCCGTTCTTGGTTGAAGAGGATTGTAATTATTAAATGTAAATAAACTTTTCTATTATAATGAAAATCAAAATTATATATATAATATGTGTTATGCGTTTATAAAAAGCACAAAATTATTTTGCCATGAAGTTGAAGGGGTAGGAAAGGTTAAAGTAAAAAAATTTGCAGATTTTATTCATATTTATATCATCTCAACAAAAGTAATGTCAGATGAGAATCATATCATTTTTGGCATCTCTATTGACTGAACTGTTAATAGATAAATGAATGCCTCCAGCCAAGCACTTGTAAAAATTGAATTTAGTTTTTAATACCAATCACATGGAACTTTTCTGTCATGGTTACGATGAAGAGGTTTCTAAAAACACACACAAAGCACAGCAGGCCAAGAATTTGGTAAGCCCAATGGACTTACTACTAAAAACAAACAAACAAAAATTAACTTTCATAAGAAATCTAAGTTATATGAGAAAAATTACCTAGTCACTATTTTGTCTAAATCATACTTTAGCACCATCACAGCAGAACGTGAAGGGTTTCTGACATCTGACCGCTGATGTTTGATTTCCTGTGTTTGTGGCCTCGGCATAAAAGGGCATTTTACCTTTGCAGTTTTACTAAACTCTGAAAAATTCCCAAACTTCAGTATTAGCCTTACCTGTCCATGTAATGATTTCATGAATATTGTTATATTGTCGAATGCCCACTGACGTTATAACTATATGGGAACTTAACTTTATAAGGAAATGTATTTTGACACTGATATCTTTTTAAAGTATTCTGATCCTAAAAAAAATTCTCAAGACAAAAATTATTCTTGAGAATAAATAACAAAAGCTATTAGAGTGGATAGGTACACAGAGTAACCATGGTTCTTTCTAGTTAATTTGTCTTTCACACTATCTACCATCTGTCTGGTTGATCTCAGTTGCCTGTAGCTGTTGTTTGTGTGGCCCCTTTAAGCTCCCTTAATTTACATTAGAACATAGAATTCTGTTGTGGAGACTTCACTGAGTAAGTTGAAGTGCAGCCCAGGAGTTTAACAAGCACTCCCAGGGGAATCTGGTCCAGGTGTTAGAGGGCCTCTCGTTAACAGTTCTTTAGCATCCGCACCTCTGTCCAGCTTGCCCACATGGGTGTTTCTGAAGAACAAAGGAGAAAGTTAAGTGTCTTCAGAGATTTCTTAATGCGTACAAAGTGTTACAACACGTAACTACTTCCACTCCCACATCTACTTCCAGAAAAAACTGGACTTAAAAGCTGTATTTTATTTGGTGGCTTGGCTTTTCATTCATAGACCAGTCTCGTATCTACTCATTTCTCAAAGTGTGGACTATAGGATCTGGTCTTAATTTTTAGAAGAAAATAGATGTTCGTCTGGTGAGGTGCATCATAAGCTTTATTGTGTCTTCTTGTCATTTGCTGAGTAAGTTCCAGAGGGTGATATTCATAGACATCATTAGCCAGCAACTCTTTACTCCTTGGGCTAGATCAGAGTCATTTGAGATTAAGTTACAGCTCTTCCATCATATTTAGCATCCATTTATTCTTCAACCATTGCATGTTCTTGGTCATATACTACCAAGATAAATGTAGAAATCATCCTATAACATTATATGAAACAGACAGGTTTATAAAAGACACCGAGTCTGAAAATAATTCTGTAAAAAGTGTTAAATATCATTTGTTTTACAAGTAGGGATACATTTTAGGGAACTTTTTTGGCAGTCCGTATTTATATAATATTAGGAATTTGACTTTCAGCAAATTAATTGACCTGATTAATTGACCTGAAAATGTAAACATGGGCATTTTATGAACTACTGAATATAAAGTTTGAAATTTAATTTTTTAGTAACTTCTTAAGTAAGAAGTAAATGTTTATAATTTATCTTTCTTTTAACATGCTTTAAGCTTTATATACTCTAAGAAATATCATTTTTTTATTTTCATCTTTTTTTAGTCTCTGACGTTAAGACTTCAAGACTATCCATCTTTGTCTCATCTTGTTGTTTATGTACCATCTATTCATGGAAGTAAGGTAACAAATGGATTAAATGGTTGTTATCAGAATGTTTTGGGGATACTCATGCTAAATATGTAAGTTATTTTTTGATGAATTCTTCAGCATAGGGCTTATCTAAAACAATGGCCAGTTTGGTGATCCACCTAAGATTGTTAAATCATTAGGATCATACTCTAACTTGAACTAAGCAGAATAAACCTGAGTCTGTTTATTCCGAGTGGGAACTATTTCTACTTTATCGGTCTTTCAAAACCTATTAATTTTTGAGTATACTTTTATGTGCAAGACTCTGGAGGCACACAAATGAGGAGGACACGAACCCTTTTCTCAAAAAGTTACATACTGTCAGGTAGGGAGAGAGAAATATATTTGGAAGCAGGGAGGAGAGTGAGAATAAAAGAGATACCCCAAAATATATAATGCAAATCAGAATATAGCAAATACATGAAAAATGTGAAACAGGGAAGTATCTCTGATTGATGGAATCCAGAAAAGCTTTTTTATTACAAAGTAATATTTGAAATTACCTTAGAGAATAGTTAGGGTGTTTATAGGTAGAATGAGCATCCTAGACCTATGCTGTCAAATGTCAGAGCTAGCAGCATGGGTGGCTATTAAAATTAATTAAAATTAAATAAAATTAAAAATTCAGTATCTTAATTGTACTAGCCTCATTCCAGATGCTCAATAGTAACATCATTGCAGAAAGTTGTAATGAACAGCATTGTCGAGACAAAGAAACAGTGAGATCCAAGCATGGAAGTGTGAAAGTATGGGGGGTCTTTGGAAAACAGTGAATAAGTAAATAGTAATTTTAAAAAGATGCCCCCTATGTGTAGAATAGTAGGAGAAGAAAAGTCTAGAAAAAGTGGATCACAGCCACAATGTGGAGGGCCTTGATTGGAAGATTCAGGAGTCAGTAGGGAGCTGAAAGATTTTTCACCATAGTAGTCATGGAATCAGAGCTATTTAGGAAGATGAATCTTTTTATGGTGTAGGAGACTGGGCACCTCCTAAGGGGTTATGAGGGCTTGTACTAGGGAAGTGGGAGTAGGAATAAAAGCATAATGATTTTTGAAAGAAGTGGGGGAAAAGGAAGAGGATGGAGGCAAAAGACCCTCTACTCCCCTTTCCACGTTTCACCCGACAAATTTATCCTTCAAGATCTAGCCTACGTGTCCTCTGTTTTCCTTTTCCAAGCTCCTCAGTAACCTCTTACTCCCGTGATACTTTGTTTGTTTATAACTTCTTTGAGGAATTTATTACCTGAATTATAATTTGTATGTTTATGTCTGTTGCCATTGCCATATTGTGAATTCTTTGAGAGTAAGGACCAGATAGGTTTTATTCTACTTTGCATCTTCAACCTTTAGTGACTACTGCATAAATACTTAAAAAAAAGATTCTTGAGTGAGAAAGTTGATGAAATTTGGGGCCATAATTACTAGGAAAATTTAAAAGGAAAAGGAAAAGGGGGATGTAGCTGGGAGTCATCTCAAAGATCGAGTCTCACAAGTCCCTTATAATGGATTCGTTGTTTTGTTTTGCTTAGCTCAAGTGAGAGGTAATTCAGCATCTTCAATACTAAAGCTCTCTTTAAGGGTTTTTCTGTCAGGTAAGTTGGTTTTGAATGAATTAACATCCTGCCCAAACTTGGAAAGGCCCTTTTTGATTATTCCAAGAAACTACTGAGCCTTTCGCAAATAGCCAGTCTTAGCAGCCCTGTAAATACGTAATACGTCATAATGCTCTTTGGAAAGTAACACTGCTGACTACTGTTGCACACCCAATCTCCCAAGGATGTTAGTTTAGGCCTTCCATGATTTCTACGTCTCGTAACCCACCATCAGAAGGATACATATATTTAAATAGGCAGTTTTAAAATGTTTTGAGTCAACTGATAATATATTTTTTGAAATGCAAATATGGAATTATCTGCATTTTTTGATGACAGAAAATAAAATAATAAAATCCATTAGAAATGTACTTATCTTGGATGTTTCAGGGACAGACCTTTGAATTTTCTTTCTTGGGTAGGAGTTTATTCCATAAAAGGAATAATCAAATTTGTAAAACAATAATAAAAATTATATTATTTTAAATACCTGTACAAAGCGATTTAAAACTGCTTCCCTGTCTCAGTGTCTCACCCAAAAATGCTTTGTAAAAATATAATGAATAATCCTGTTCAGTAAATGATTGCTCTAATCTTGTAACAGCTATTTTCTATAATGAAAATATCGGACAGTGTTCTTTGCCTCATAAGTAAAGAGGGAGAAACAAAGGCAAAGCCCCTTATCAAGATTTTCCTTTTATTCCCTCATGTATGTGCTACAGTGTAATAGCATTTTTCCTCATCTGTTTTTCACTTTCAAAAGCAATAAAAATATCCACCCAAGAGGCAAGCAAAATAACTCTGCTTCAAACACAACCCAAGGTGTAGTTATTGGAAAAGCCTAGGATAGACCCTGCTGGCTTTCTGCTTTCTGTAGACAGCAAACTACTTGCTAGCTACAGTTAGGCATCAGATTAATTTCTTCTTCAGCTCCTGTAGATCAAAGTAGTTCGGTTGCATTGTGGAGATTATTTTAATAAAACCATTCTCAGTGCAGACAGTTGAGAGCAGAGTTCCTTATGCCTTTGTAGGAAGTACTATTAGAAGAAAATGTTGTTACAACAAGTTGTAATGATGCAGATGTCTTATTTTAGTTTTACTTTTGTTGAGAAAGCATTTCTTAAGATAGCATTTCTTTTTCTTACTTCATAGTTAATAGTATACCTTTTTTCTGTTTACTGTAAACACTGTTTAGCCTGAAATAATCTTATACAAATAACATAGCCATCTGCAGATGAAAGCAGTATGTCTCCAAAAGCCTTTTGTAGTCTAATTAGACTGTAGATACATAGTAAATGTGGGATTTAAAAAAAAGTAGCAAAATCACGTTTCCTTTTGACTGTTGAGGTATTCAGAGATAAATTCTCTAAAGGTATATTCTCTAGTTAATTTTGAGTTAACCTTGGCTCTTAATGCTTTGTTCCATCCGTTAAGGTCCGTCTTCTATAAACACCTGAAACTACAAGAAAACTTTGTTATACTAATCTGTTGTTATAGAAATGACTTTCTAATAATTTATCTATTAAATTAAATTAAGCTCATTCATCAAAATTTTTCAGCCTAGCATCTCTCCTTGAGGAATTCTTGCCATCTAAATATAGCCAGAGTTAGTGTGATAGATAATACCTTCTCCAAAACAGAAGTTTATACACTTTTATTTTCCACTCAAACATCAAGTGAAGATATTTTACTATGATGTTAATTTTATTTTTCCCTAATAAATTAATGTTTTATATTTCAGTTTGTTGTAGATTGCGAATTCTTTAAAAAAGAGACGAGATCCATACAGCTGCCTGTAACTCATCTGTTTTCCTTTGGTAGGTACTTTGATTTTGAAAATCTTAAGAATGGCTTTTATTTTTAGCACAGTACTGATTTATTTTGCTAGGTAGTCATAATAAAGCAGAGCCTTGTAACATTAAATATTGTTGTGTATTTCAAGTGTAGTTCTTAGAATAACCGTATGATGTGGTTCAGTGATTAGGTTCTTATTTAATACTGGACCAGCAGTCATCTTCTGGAGTGAACTTTAAAAGGCGTTTCTCCGTGATCACATACATTTGCGGGTAATCGTGTTTGTGTGTGTGTGTTCTCATGTGAATTTATAACACATATTGGCCCTTTTTATAAAAGGTTTATTATAAAGTATAAATTTCTGTCTGACCTATGAAGGTATGAAAATTTCTCTAAATTTTTTTTATTCTGGTAAAATACACATAACTAAATATTCCTTTAAATTTTATTTTGAAATAATTTTAGACTTACAGAAAAATTACAGAAAGAGTACGAAGTTCCCATATGTCCTTAACTCACCTTAACATAAACAATGCAATTGTCAAAACTAAGAAATTAGCATTGGTACAATACTGTTAACTAAACTGCAGGCTTTGTTTACTTTCCATTGGTTTTTCACCAGTGGTCTTACCCTGGTTCCTATGTTGTATTCAGTCTCCTCTGATCTCTGATAGCTCCTGTCTTTCCTTGTCACCATAGCTTTGACACCTTTGAAGAGTACTGACCAGTTGTTTTGTAGAATACCCCTCTATTTGGATTTGTCTAATGCTTTCTTATGATTAGATTGAGGTTATGCATTTTTGGCAAGGCTGTCATAGAAGCAATATGTACTTCTCAGTGCAGCGTATCAGAGGATGCATGATGTCACTAAGTCTAATTACTGGTACTGTTAACCTTAATCACTTGGTTAAGATGGGGTCTGCCAGGTTTCTCCACTATAAAGTTACTGCTTTCCTTTTTTTTTTCTTAAAGATTGGCACCTGAGCTAACAACTGTTGCCAATCTTCTGTTTGTTTGTTTTTTCTGCTTTTTCTCCCCAAATCCCCCCACTGCATAGTTGTATATTTTAGTTGTGGGTCCTTCTAGTTGTGGTACATGGGCTGCCACCTCAGCATGGCCTGATGAGTGGTGCCATGTCCGTGCCCAGGATCCGAACTGGTGAAACCCTGGGCTGCCGCGGCAGAGCGTGTGAACTTAACCACTCGGCCACAGGGCCGGCCCCTTTCCTTTCTGTAATTTATAAATATCTTGGGGGAGATACTTTGAAAATGTATAAGTATCTTATTTTTCTTCAAAATAACCCACTAAATTTAGTATCCAGTGGTGCTAGTCTGAAGCAGTTATTACTGGTATTCAGTATTTATTGGAATTCTTCCTAAGGGAAAGTTGTCCCTTCTCCTCCATTTATTTATTTACTTAATTTTTATTTATGTCAGTATGGACTCCTGGATATTTATTTTATTCATTGGGTTATAATCCAGTACCATTGTTACATTTTTTTGCTTAAGTTGTTCCAACTTTGGATATTGGGAGCTCTTTTTGGGTTGGCTCCTGTGCCCTTTGGCATTCCTCATCCTTTAAATATTTTGTTTTATATTCTGTTCATGAAAAGAATCTTTGTTACTTGAGAGAAGAAACTTAAGATTTTTTATCCCACCCCCACTGCTTTTTTTAGTAGAAAAATACTCAGAACAATACAGAAATGAGAACTCTGAATTGCCATCTCATTGAAGATAGCAAGCTTGTAAAGTAAGAGATCTACCAAGAAAGCATGCCTTTTTGAAATTGGAATATGTACTTTATTTTTTAAAACACATACCTGTGATTGAAAATCCTTATAAATGTTTTTTTCGGAGTTTATTCAAGGAGGATTGGATTTTTAGGAGTTTACTTCTCCATACCAGAAGCGAAAACCTGTGAACTCTTTTTTCATAGTAAAAATCTATTGGCATTATTTAAACATTGTGTAAGTAATCAGTACTTTTTTTTGTTTGTTCTTTACTATTCTAAGTAATACAGTACTTTTAATTCAACAGGATTGTCATCAAGGAAAGTAATATTAAATACAAGCGGCCTGTTCTATAATATAGAGCTCCTGAACTTTGGACAGGTAATTATCCTGACTATAATGAGGATTTGATTTTACTTTAGTTTTAGTTAAACAACCAAATAAACTCTTGTTTTTTTTCTTTTTGTGGTCAAACTCTATTAGATATACCAAGCTTTTAAAATCAACGTAGTAAGCAAGTGCTCAAGTGTCAAAGGTAAGCGTATTTTCTGGAAAAATAGTATTGTCATTTGAAGAATCAATAGGTCTTCAGTTGAATTTCCTATAATATTTATTCTTCCGTATATTTTATGTGAATTAAAATTAAATATATGATAATATAAAAGCTGTTTATATTTCCAACAAATATAATATAGACTCCTTCTTAACAGTAAGCATCTTCTGTTTCAGTTTAAAAATCCAAATTTTAATAATACTGTATGTCATGCTGTCTTATTATAGAGTAATTCAGATTTAGCTGTTTAATGTTTTTCTAGTTTCTTAGTACTTCTCATATGCTCTAATATCTTTTGCAAGTCTAATTAAACATTATTATTTAATAATCCTCCATAATTTCTTATTATGTGATATAATTCTTACTAATTATTTTTTATGAAATGAGTGTGTAGTTAGGTATTATAGTAGCTTATATAAGATTTAGTGTAATATAAGGTTAGTAATACATATTTCTTTTATGTTTTCACAGAAGAAATAACTAGTATCTATAAACTTCATATTCCCTGGTCTTATGAAGATTCACTAACCATTGCACAGTAAGTCTATGAAAGAATTTACCTTAAAATGGTGTTTTTGAATAATACGTTACATAATTACATTGAAGAATACATGTCTTGAATAATATTTTTTTTATTTAAATCATAGTGAAATTATTAAAATGCCTCTTAGTAAAATGTAGGTATCCTTTAGGTAGCATTATGCCCATAAGGTAATATATGATAAGATAGTACATTATAAGATAATGTAAATCTTATTTAAATGATCTAAAATTTAAACGTTACTTGCTTGAAAGATGAACCCTTTCCCACCCTCTCCCCCAACTCCTCTAACTAGAGGGAGCGTTCAGGCAGCTGTGGTGCGACTGGAAAAGTGTCCATCCGTAATAATGTGTCTGGCATCTAGCTTCCTATACATTATTTCATTGTGTTGTGCTGAGGATTGACTTAGCCATGGTTATTTCACAGCATTTTGTATTTGAGAATTGATATATATCTTTTCAGGGCACCGTCCTCCACAGAAATTTCTCTGAAACTGCATATTGCTCAACCAGAAAATGATAGCCATGTAGCATTATTAAAAATGTACACATCATCAGACTGTCAGTATGAGGTAAGTTGTGTGTTTGCTTAATCTTTAAGATTTAGTTATAGAATAAATTGAAAATATATTCTTATATTAGCCTCAGATATATGATGATGTGGAAGTCATTAAATATAAGAAATAGACATTGATAATACTTTAAATATTCTCCATTTTGCCTATTTGTACTACCTCAGTATTTCCTTAGCTGGGCCGTTGAAAGTACACATCTTAATAAGTAATAGGAAATAAAATAAAAATTGAAACTGTAGCTTACCCTTCTAAATTTGGAAGCCCAAAGTCCACAATCCTCTATAAATTGAAGAACATAATGAAGTCAGCTGACGTGGCTTTACTTCAGTGATCGACATGATGCATATTTGTTTCTAGGCCTACCAGATAAGTTTAAGGATCTTCTTTCCTTTTTACTAATTATTTTAAGCTCTGTTAGTCATTAATATGTGCAATTTAGTGCCTCTTGTATTTGTTTTACAATCGCAGTAGATCTCTTTGAGCTAAGAGAAATAAGGGAAATAAACTTGAGAGTAATATTTTGTTTACTTATAGATTGGTGAACTGAAAGTGTCCCTCTCTGTATCAGAACGTGCCACGGTCTAAGGATTCCAGATTTAAGTGTTTGAAGTACTCATTTCAGTGGTGGAGACATCACAGTTTCTGATTTATGTTAAATATCTTATTTCTACTCAACTGCTTTAAAGCAAGCTTAAATATTGGGATTCTTTATTAGAACTAACTTTCTTAGGGTAAACTAGGATTGGTAGATCAAATGAATCTGTTCCTACAACCAAATTTCAGTTGGACCAATATTGTGAGTTATTTTATGGAGTTTATTAATGCTTTGATATCTTGCTTTCTGTTTTAACATTGAAGGATTTTCCAGGGCTGCAATGCTTTTTAACTTGTACCTTCACATTTCTAATATTAGAGAGATAGTAAGAATTGTGTTAATAATTTGGCACCAGATACTGCATACTCTCAAAATGTCCAGTTTTTACAAATACTTTATATTTTCAAAAGTCTATATTTTGACAAAATATGGTCATTTAATAATTTCCCTGTGAAATATTTATTTCCTTTTCCCATACTTCCTAATATCAAAAAGGTATATTTATAGTAGAGATAATTAATGATGAATTTTTTAAAAAATACTGTTTTGGCTTAAATTTTATTAAATATGTTCTGTTTGTTCCTGGTCTTATGTGAAATCTATTTTTATGAAATGTACTCAGAAGTGGTTTAGCTTAACTCGATTTAGTGCTATACAATTGTAGGTTTGAGATTTTAAAGTACTGGTTATATAGTAGGTTGATCACTTTGTGCTTAATTTTTTAGCAAACATATATGTAGCTTCTGGACTCAGTCATTCAATAAATTCCTTTAGCTTGCATGATTTGCTAATAAGATATTCTGGTTAATCAAATATTCTTGTTAGTAAAAGTTTACCACGTGTACCATAGCATTCATCCAATTGTCAAAGACTTAGGATATGGGGAAAATACCGGACAGGAAAATTAGACTTGATGCAAACTAAACATTGGTGGTTTGGAGGATTTCTTTTAAGATCTTGAGTGCCTTTAGGTTTGTCCTTATAAAAAGTTAATGATTATTTAGGTTTTTCATTATAAAAAAGTTAATGATTATTTTGGTTTGTCATTATAAAAAAGTTAATGATTATTGCTTAGAGATATGCAGAAGTGTTCAATTTAATAAAATGTGAACTAGAGGAGTTTAGGGAAAATAACCTTTTTTTAATGGTTGTCTTAAACTAGGTGACGGTTAAGACTTCCTTTTCACAAATACTTGGACAGGTAAGAGAGACTCCTGGTTGATTCTTTATTGCCTTGTGAATAGATACTATAAGGCAGGGGTTGCAAACCTTTTCTGTAAAGAGCCAGATAATAAATATTTTAGCAGACCACATATGGTCTCTAGCCGCTGCTGCCATGGTACAGCTGCTTCTTTCTCCTTTTCCCTTCTTTCTTCCACTTTAGTAAAATCTAGAAACCATTTTTGGCACACAGGTCATAGTTGGCCACCTCTGGCTTTACAGTGACACTTTCATGTTTGATACTTCCTAGAAATGAGAGCTGACTCTGGTTCCCAGCAAGTTAATATTTTTGACTAAATGAAGGTCATGTTAAGATTTCATGTTGGCATACTATGTTATAATTCATAGTCCAATAAAATCTGTGGGCTCTGTCATGTAAATGAACATTTTGAAAGAACTTTTTATGTTGTGTATGCTCAGTTTGTAAATGATAAACATGTTGAAATAGTTTATAAATTCATTTGGGGGTTATCTGTCTATAATTCATAGACAAATAGTGTTAGAAAAATAATTTATTAAGTACAAGAACTACTATAATATATTATTCGACATTATAATTTGCATAATTGTACAAGCTGTATGTATGTACATAATATTAATTGGTCAGAGAAATTATATAGTTTTAAAATTCACTAATATTTTTATTATATCTTTTATTACTTTCACTTTATTTTTTGGTCTATTGTGTTTTGCAATCCAGGCATGGTATAATTTTTTTAATTTAAGTCATTTAATTCTATAATTGTAATAAAACTCACAAATCAAAATTAAATTGGAAAATTTTTTTATGCCTTGTGTCATTGGATCCTCACGACAACCTGGTGAGAACTAGATTGTGACTTTTATTAAAGTTGTGAACATTGGAATTAATGTATAAAAATTTCATGCTACATTAGAAAGAGAAGATTAAATGTAGGTATAAATTGGAAAATAGTATCATAGTTATAATAAATACTATAAAATTTTAAGGTACCAATTATTAAGAAAAGTTATCTCTGGAATACAGGGGAAGAATTCATGCCATTGTACTTTTAGTATGTCTAAAAGGCATGTTACTGTGCACAGAGGTGTGGGCTGAGGATTATGACATACTCTCTTATCCATATCATCTCTGGGACTCATAATTCAGATTAGTGACCAGAAAAGTCAAGTTAGCTTGATACTCTATAGTCAAGCATAATTATACGTACACCAAAAAAAGACAGACTAGTATTCTTGTTTAAACATGGAAATTTTTCTAGAAAATGAGGATGTGTGGGTGTTACAGGATCAGAGGTAGGTACTTTTTTAAATGTTGAAGAATTTGTAGTAATTAAGTCCTTCTCAAATTATTAAAAAGATGTAAGATACTCTTCCTTCATATTTGTTTAATTATTTGGCTTAAGAGCAGTAGGAGAATGAACTGAACTTGGATATCTTATTTGTCTTTTAAAAATAATACATATTTTCAATGTTACTGATTCAGTCAAAGAAGACTGGGAAGAGGAATAAAGAGAAACCACTTGGGGAGAATCTTTAGCCTTTGATTAGATATTTTTCATAAAATTAATACTGTTTTCAGAAAAAGAAAAGAAAATATATTTACATATTCTTTAGTTTACTGTTATGAAAGAGAGGGCAAAAAATAAACTGCAAGTTACTTTTCTCAAGAGAATTATATAAACTGTAGTAAATTATTTCCATGTAGGAATGAAGTCCAATGTTGCCAGATCTTTAGATTTTAAGAGAAACTGGAAATCTGGATTTTCAGATAAAATCTTTTAATTTTTCAATGTGGGCATCTAATTCAAAATGTGAGGAAATACTGTGCCAAGTACTAAATCAACTGAAGTGCGTCTGCAATTTGAATATGACCCCTGGAGGCCAGTTCATGACTGTTGATTTAGTTGTATCTTATGTCAGCTGTATCTGTGGCCCAGTGTAATACTTAATACTCACAACAATGACACTCATTTATTGACAAGAAATTTTTGTTCAGAAGACTGTGTAGGATCTCTTACCAAATTTCTAAGGACAATGAAGGGGGTTAAAAGAATAATAGCTAATATTTTCTGATCACCTACTTGTGCCAGTTACTATTTCAAATACTTTACACAAATGACTACATTAAACCTTAAACTCCCCGTGAGGTAAGTGCAGCTTATCTCCATTTTACCATAAGGGCAGAGAGAAGGAGGGGGGAATTGACTTCCCCAAGGGCGCAGAGCTAGTGAGAGGCAAAGCTGTAGTGGAAACAAACCCTGGAGTCTGACTCTGAGCCTGCTCTGCTGCTTGACATTCCTTCCATACTCTTGATAACTAAGGTATGCTGTACATGTCCTAGCACATCATTAAGCAGGCAGTGAGTGTCATTTGGAAATAGGTAGAAAAATTACCTTTTCCCTTTCAACTCCTCTCCCTTCACTCAAAGCTGTAAACGATAAATCATGACTATGGGCTATAAGTTTTTTGAGTCTTTCTAATCAATTTTAACCTGGGAATTCACAGAGGAGCTGCAGGGAGACCTTGAACTTCCTGAAATTTTACGCAGCATTTCATATAAACATGTATTTCCATAACTTTCATCAGATTTCCAGAGGAGTCTGTACGTTTTCTAAAAAATTCTGTGGAATGGAGAGCATGCTTTAAAAAGGAAATTTCCATGGCCAGCCCAGTGGTTTAGTGGTTAAGTTTGTGTGCTCTGCTTCGGTGACCCAGGGTTCACAGGATCGGATCCTGGGCATGGATCTAGCACCACTCGTCAAGTCACGCTGTGGTGGTGTTCCACATAAAGTAGAGGAAGATTGGCACAGATGTTTGCTCAGTGGCAATCTTCCTCAAGCAAAAAGAGGAATATTGGTGCAGATATTAGCTCAGCAACAATCTTCCTCAAGCAAAAACAGGAAGATTGGCAACAGATGTTAGCTCAGGGCCAATCTTCCTCACCAAAAAAAACAAAGAAAGAAAAGAAAAAAGGGAAATTTCCTGGGGACCAACCCTGTGGCCTAGTGGTTAAGTTTGGCATGCTCCACTTTGGCAACCCAGGTTTGTACGTTTGGATCCTGGGCGCAGACCTACACCACTCGTCCACCATGCTGTGGTGGTGACCCACATACAAAATAGAGCAAGATTGGCACTGGTGTTAGCTTAGGAACAATCTTCCTCACCAAAAAGAAAGAAAGAAAGAAACTTCCTTTTGAAACTTAAAAGAAGAGCTTAATGCTTTGTTTTTGTTATATGTGTGTTTTTTACAGAGATTGGATCAGCTAGGACAATGACTTGAGACACTAACGTAATGGTTATGAATTTAGGCTCTGAGTTAAATCCCATTCCACAAGATTTCCAAAGACAGGGAAGGACATAAAAGCCTAATAATAGCAGCTAATATTTTTTGATGGCTTGTCATCTTCAAGTTAACATTCTAAATGCTTTTGCGCAAATGAACATATTTAAGGTATTGCTAGAGGTGGTTGTTAAGACCACCTGGAAGGTAAGTACTATTACTGCTCCCATTTTACTCATGAGAACAGAGAGAGATAACAAGTAAGTGAGTTGCTTCTCTGTTATGTTTTTAATTGTGCAAGTTACTTGGGCTCCCTGTGCCTGGATTTCTTCTTCTGTAAAATAGGAATAAGAACCATCTCAGAGGATTTTTGGTGGAGAGCATGAGATAATGCATATGAGATGTTTAGTGTCATGCCTGGGACATATTAAATGCTCATGAAAGTGCCTTGTAAGAAAGTTAGTAGCATATGCTACACAATCATGCATTGTCTTTAATGCCTGAGACACTCAGATAACATGTTTCTAATAAGCTATGTGTTCTTAGCATTTATTTCACTTGGAGTTTTGATACCCATTACTTGAGGTATCTTTGTGCCCATTTCAGGGAAGGTATAAAGTGAAGAATGATGTTTTTTATTTCATGTGAAAGTGCATGTATTTCATTACCACGAATGCTGAGAAGTTTCCCATCCATTTGCCTGTTTTCTAGGTGGTTCGATTTCATGGTGGAGCTCTTCCAGCGTATGTCATATCTAGTATCCTTCTTGCCTATGGAGGACAGTTATACTCTCTTTTCTCAACAGGTAGGAGTGTTTCTATTCCCTCCCTTCTGCCTTCCTCAATGCTTCATCACTACTTTTTATCCCACATGTGGCTAACAAAGAGACATCAGTTTCTTGAAAATTCACACTCTCTCTCTCAAGTTTAGAGGGGTTGGAGAGCCTCTAAGTTTTAAGAGATTCTCAAGAAATTCCTTACTGTTTTCTCCATTTTATACCCTTGTGCTTGAAGTTTCTTCCCTCTATTCTGAGGCCTCTTAAGAGGTAAAGTTTCATTGATGAAGATCTTGTTCATTCTGTTCCCGGTGCCTAACGTAGTGCTAAGCACGTACTAGGCATCCAGTGTAATGTAATTTTGGGCTGTACCAACTGTATCAGTTAGGTCCTGGCAGACTGAATGGAATAATTTGAGAGAGTTTAATGAAGGGACTATTTCAAAGGTGTGTGTAGGGTTAGGGGAAACCAATAAGAAATGATAAAGCACCAGGTTACCAACAGAGCCATCTGATGCTCTTAGGTACCAGGGCAAGGGAGGGAGGAAACCTAGGGAGCTGTGGGGAGGGCAGCATTACTGCAGCTGCAGCCTTGGATACGGGAATGCTGCAACCACTGTCAGCCTACGGCTCAGCAGAGAAAAAGGCTGGGAAATAAACACGCCAACTTTATTTCCTCCTACCCTCCTAACTGCCAGTGCCTCTCATTCACTGAACCCAACTGGAAGCCAATTCACAAAAACCTCCAAGAATTCGGAGTAAAGTAAAGAGTGGAGAGTGGGTCTGGAGAGGCAAGTGTAGAATATGTAGTACCCTGGACAAAACCCTCCCTAGAGTATAGCACGTAGAAGAGTTTCCCAGGAGCCTAAACTGTGTAAGGCTCTCACACACTTGTTGACTTGGACAGTAATCAAAGGAGGCAAAAGATAAGAAAAGAGTCAGGCCAAAATAGATAAAAGCAGTCCAGAAATCCCCGCCACCATTTCCGTCTTGCCAAATCCTTCCACAGCTACTCTTTCCCTTTCTATGATTTTTTTGCAATTTTAAATCTGCCTTTAGTGTTCATTTTAACCTATATTCTAGGACGAAGGGAGCAACGTTCAGTGTGATCTTCCCAGATCCAACCTTTTAATTAAGAGATTATTCTGGCAATATGACATCAACCATGCTTGAATATAAATTATTTTTTAGAGAGACACCTCATTCTTCTTAGTTCAAGTGGCTTGATAATTGATTCTCAAACATACAGGATTCATATCTAGATAATCCACAGAGACCCCAGGGTTATATGACATTGGTTAATCTAGAGGATTTAAGTATGAGATTATGTCTCAAGCCAATTAAAGAAGCAGTTCTGAACCAAGGACGCTTATCAGAAATCACCTCTGGATTATGCTTACTAGAATGCTATAATAAAAAGATAGTAGCAAGTGTTAATGAGGGTGTGGACAAATTGAAACCTTCGTACACTGCTGGTGGGGATGTTGAATGGTGCAGCTGCTTTGGAAAGCAATCTGGCAGTTCCTCAGACAGTTAAGCAGAGTTACCACGTGACTCAGCAACTCCACTTATAGGCCCCAGAGAAATGAAAATGTACACCCGCACTAAACTTGTACACAGATGTTCATAGGAACACTATTCATAGTAGCCAAAAAGTGAAAACAACCAAAATGTTCATCAGCTGTTGCATGGATAAATAGAATGTGCTGATACGTGTTATAACATGGGAAATCTTGGAAGCATGCTAAGTAAAAGAAGCCAGTTACAAAGGGCCACGTATTATCTGATTCCATTTCTATGAACTGTTCAGAAGAGGCCAGTCTGTAGTTATAGAAAGTAGATTAGTGGTTGCCTAGGAATGGGGAGGTGTTGAAGGTGACAGCCAAGGGGAACAGAGTTTCTTTTGAGAGTAATAAAAATGTCCTAAGACTGATTGTGGTGATTAATGCACAACTCTGAATATACTAAAAACCACTGAATTGCATACATTTTAAATGGATGAATTATTTGATATGAGAATTATATGTCAGTAAAGTTGTTAAAAAATTCACTGTGGAGTTTTGTGAAAATACAGATGGTGAAACTCCGGCCTTGGCTTCCTGAATTCATTTTTGTTTCATAACTGATTGAATGTGTATTCTTATATAAGAACTATTGAATTCTAGTAATTTTTAATCTTTTGAAGAAAGTCTCTGTGATTGTATTGAAGGTGCTTGCTTTCTCTGACATGAAATACGTTGCTCTTAGAGACAGTGCAGAATATAATATGTTTCATACTTCATTACTTTGAATGCTCTACTACGTATGATTTTTTTTTTAATCGCCAGGTCATTGCTTAGAATACGCTGCTATGTTGGATAAAGAAGCCAAACCATACAAAGTTGATCCTTTTGTAATTATGATTAAGTTTCTGTTGGGGTAAGTTTTATTATCTGTGATAATGATTTTGATTTTGTTTTATATGTAAAACATTATGTTTGGCTCCATAATGGAATATAAATTTTCATACAAATATGGCAATTGACTTCTTTTAGTAAATGGGATTTTCCTCTTAGGTAAAGGCCTAATAAGGATATCGACATTTACTTCAATAGTATAACCATTTCAAAAGTAATTATTGAACTTATATGTATCAATCTAAACTTGGACTGTAAAATATACCAGGCCTTTAACATTTGTAGGAGGATGTATATGGTCCAAGGTCTTTGAGTACCCCAGATTCATGAACACAAACCATTATAGGATACTAATGAAACAGTGCCTCAGATCACTTTTTCTTACTTCCCATGCAGAGTGTATTTTAGGTCTCTCTACCCTACTTAACATTCCGTTCTTAATGTATTCACATTTTGTTTTTTGATTAAGCACCATTACTTAGATTTCTTCTGTCATTACAACTAGCCATTGGCTTTCTAACTTAGAAAAAAAGATCATATTTTGTTACAAAGATCAGTAGAGAGCAGTAAAGCTCCACTGAGATTCAGGTCCCAGCTCTTGGAAGATCAGTAGAGCCCCTTGGAAGATATATGACTGGTTCCTGACGAGGAACTGAAGTTTGTTTTTTCAGTATAATTATAAATTAAGTACTGTATCATGGACCTTTGGGGACTCTAGTGTGTGGTGTCAAACACTGCAAATATTAAACCCTTGAATGTCAGTTGTTGATTTTTTTTTTTTTTTTTTTGCTTTTACTGTATGTTTTCTTTTATCCACAGGTATAAATGGTTTAAAGAATTATGGGATGTATTGTTGTTACCAGAATTGGATGCCATCGTTTTAACTAGTCAGAGTATGTGCTTCCCTCTTGTGTCCTTGATTCTCTTTCTGTTTGGAACATGTACTGCCTACTGGGGTGGCCTCCTCTCGTCCACATCTGTGAGACTCCTTTCTTCCTTGTGGCTCGCTTTGAAAAGGTAAAGAATGAGTATATGAAAAAATTATATTCTGATAGGGAACTTTAAAATTAATTTGCTTTCACTAAATTGTAATTTCTAAGGAAAGATGTATAACTCGCAAAAATGGGTTAGTGTTCAAAGTTATGTCTTTGTCAAAAATAATTATTTATTGCAGGTTAAGTGCTACATTTGATTTTGACCTTAGTGCTCAAGAGTTAATCAAAAAAGTTTGACAAACTACACAAGTATTTTTAGGTTTCACTGTTGTAAATCTTTCCGAGGGCAAAGTATTTCTCTGGCAGTGCTTTTATGTGCTGACTTTCAGTCAAACCTGAGGGCAGGAGACTCCAATCACGATATTTAGGATCAGATTAGAGGAAACATGTAAGAGCTCCAGAAACATAGCCTAGAGTTTTATTATAGGCCCCAAGACACAGTTTAAAGTTGCTGGTAAACCAGTGATCTGGTTTCTGTTGCCGTTGCTCCTCACCAGACCTCTTACGTGATTTCCTGTCACAGAGGATTGTGGTGTGGTGCTGCTTCCTCCACCCTTCTCAGGTGTGCCTGACACTAACACCGTCACATGCCTGAGTGATCTGAGACCGGAAGAAATAGGAAGCTGTTCCCTCTCCTCTCAAGAGTGGAAATGTATGGCACAGGGCCTATAGTTAATGATTATCTTGAGCAACATTTTTTCTTCCTTGGTACAAATATCAGCCATAGTGTATCTAAATGGAAGAGGGGCTATCGCAGTGTATTACAGAACTTGCAAATATGTGTCATCCATTGCCTTTATTAAAAAATAACTTACTGTTTACTTTATAATACTTTCGTATTAATATGCTGGAGAGGCTGAGAGTATTGTATGGTTCTTATATGAGGCTGTATGAATAACTGTTAATATACTTTTAAAAGCTTTATTCTTATTATTCCAGGCCCTCTGAACTTCCTAAAGATATCAAGATGATATCGGCAGACTTGCCCTTTTTAACAGTTGTTTTGATCATAGTTAGTTGGACGACTTGCGGAGCGTTTGCCATACTGCTTACTTATCTTTACTATGTGTTTAAGGTATGTCGAGTCAGCACAGTCAAAATGGCTGGGCTTCATAGCAGGCGGGAGTAAACTTTCTTGTAGAAGCTATTAACAAAAAATTTAATTACTTCTGCAGTGAACTTCCATTACATAACAGGTTTAAATGTAAAGGTTTTTTTTTTAACGTCTTAGTTATTTAAAAGATAAATAGTTAACTGTAGAACTCAAATTATTAATCTGAGTTAGGTTTCTTTGTTAAAAAAAAAAACAAAGGGAGGGGAGAAGATATGTTTCACATTGCTTCATGCTCTTGCAAGTAATGTTAACTTTTTATAAAACGTTTTACTAGAGCAGTTTTTATTCACACCTCCCTTTGCACATGGGTAATAGATAAAACAAAAAGTTTTATCAGTGGGATCAAGCTGTCAGTCATGCTGATATAACGTAGAATGTTACAAACGTTGCTGAAGAATCAGAAGACAATGGTAAAAGTAATTGGGCTGATAATTTTACTGAGGAAGTGGAAGACACTTCCAGGACGGCCGACAGCTGTGCAGAGAGGTCTCGGTTTACAGCGGCACACTCTCCACGTTAATCTTATGTAGACGCAGTTGATACCAGAGTGGATAGCTATTATTTTCCCTTTTTTAAACAAAGGTTTATTTTCATCTACATTTAACACTAATACATACACATTATGGATTACTTGTAGTTTTCAAAGGAAGTTTATGTCCCTCAGAAAAAACTATGCTGAGCTACTTCGATTTATAAATGAGATATTTTTGGTTTTCTTAATTGGATATTTCAAACAACTGACCCAATAAGCAAAACTTTCTCAATACTTAAGGAAAATTAATAAATTAAGCTTACAGATTTCTTCAGGTTCTTGTAAACATTTCACCACTGCATGTAATTGAGTTCAGGTTTTCAAAGATTTAGAATATATAAAACATGTTAAACTCTTTTTACTTTACTGAGTATAATCAGATTTTTGACTCACAAGGCACTTTAAGTTGCTAGAGCAAGGCTTCATCCAAACCAAGGCTCACAGAATGTAGAAGATATAGCAGTATATCATGGCCCCAGCATACTCTGGAAGTTGGTATTATTTTATTTCTTTTTTTTAGTTCAGAATAGCAAGCATGGGTAGTCATTATTTAGCTTTTCTAAAAGAATGTTTCTAAATGTTTAAATGGATTTTTAGTTCAGATTTTTTAAATTCAAGATTACAGTGCTTCTCAATTTTAATAAAAATGGTTTTTTCTTTCAAAATAAGAGGAAAATTAAATAATCATTTCTTTCTCCTAGATTGTTCATCTGCAAGCCAGCCTAACTTCTTATAAAAATAGCCAGACTGTGGTAAGTTATATTTTCAAAACTCTACATCACTTTAATATGAAAGAACATGGGAAAATATGAAAGTGTGTTTTTTTAAAAAAAGGTTAGGATTTTATAGTGTTTAAAAGGTATTATGAATTTAAGTAAGTTTAAGAATAGTGAACCTAATGAATATTAAAATAGGCTTAGATTTTCTAAGTTTAACTTGATCTTTGTCAGTACTTATGTTGTTTTTATTGTTACAAATTATCTTTTAAATTTTATTTCGAGTAATTACTTAGAAGATATATTCTTAGCAGGGGAAATAGCAAGTCAAAGGAATAAAAGTGTTGTAACTGCCTTAAAGTACTTTTAAACAGGTAATTTCAGTATTTTATTTAAATTTGGTAATGGGAATCTGTATTTATTTAGCTGTTGAGTAATTGAGTATGATTTTCAATAAAATAAAGTTGAATTTTACTTAGTGTTTTGATGTTTTTACTGTCTTGCTTTACAGAATCCCAAACACTCTAGAAGAAGTGAAAAGAAGTGCAGTCAGCATAAAGACTCTGCAGCGCACCATCGTCGTTTATCTGCCGGTGACGCTGAGGACAGCATCCGCATGCACAGTACTGTGATCAACCTGCTCACGTGGGTTGTGTTACTCAGCATGCCGTCTTTAATTTATTGGTTAAAGAATCTTAGGTGCGTTTTATTTATGTAATTGTGATTTATGTGGTTCAAACAATACATATCTCTACATAGATACTTGCTAGATTCCTAATGATCAATAAAACTTCCTCAAGAATAGGACGCTATGTATCACCTGAAATTTATTTTCAATACATTCACATTTTCTCCCTTACCATAAGAATATAAACTTCCCCAAAATCTGCCCCAAAAAGAGGGAATTATATTTTGTTCATTTACCTTTAACCTTCTTTGAGTCTGGAAATATGTGAAAATGTGCTTTATTTTGTTGGCTTAAGGTATTCATAATCCTAGTACTTTATGTACTTTTCAGTTCATGATCAACTTTATGTTTTCTTAAATTTGGGGTGAAGGAAAATGCTTGCATTTAAAAATATTAGAAATAACGAAGGAAGTTTGTACTTTTCTAATTGTCCCATAATAAAGTAAATGATCCGCGATTTTACTACTGAAAACTGTTGTTTGCTTTGCTCTCTGCTAGGTGTCCTAGGTTAAATGAGAGCCTAAAATGCCCTCCACGATTGTTTCTAGAATATTTAATTATTGTCAAATTACTAAAAAAGTAATAATAATAAGCGACCTTATCCAGTAATAGGTGAACCTCTACTCAATGTAATTTTCAGAAATGACATAAAACTTTCAGATTATCTAAATACTGGAAATTTTTAAGTCAGCAGAGCCAAAATAAGCTTGACAAGTTAAATCACAGGTTACCAGATGTTAATATCCTTCCTTTGTCCCTCATTTTAGTCAAGATCCAGATTTTTGTTCACAGGTTTAGGTAGAAAATTACTTGAGCACAAATTTCTGATTCTGAAAGGCTGTAGATGTCCCACAGTCTGTAAATGCAAGAGATGAGAATTTGGGTTTTAAAAAGATGGGGGACAATTACTTTAAACCTTCATTTTTTTCATCTTTTTTAAATACAGCAGCCTTAATATATTTAAAATAATTTGTTTTATAAAAGCATTATTTATATATGACTTTTCAGGCATATGCCTATTATAAAAAAGAAGTGCATCCATATTGGATATTTTCATTTCCTTTAGTAGTTTCTGAACATAATTCTCCATATAAAAGCTTGAGTGTATTATATGTGGAATATAAACAAGTACTTGGACAAAGAAAACAGTTCAGTAGTTACAAGGGGAAAGGGGCTGGGGGGGCACGGGGGTGAAGGGGAGCACTCATGTGGTGGCAGTCAAGAAATAATGTACAACTGAAATCTCACATTGATGTAAACTATTATGAACTCAATAAAAAAAAACCTTGGGTGTAAAGATGGTGTAGAGCAAAGATTATTTATCAAAGATTTCATGAGCTGTTTGGGGATCTCTTATATCCATATTGTTCCTGGAATGTTTTCAAATTTATATGATTGATTCTGATAATTTAAAATGATCGTGTGCTTTGTTGAGTTATGTTTTACTTTTTCTTTTTGTTGTAGGTATTACTTTAAACTTAATCCTGATCCATGTAAACCTTTGGCATTTATCCTTATTCCAACTATGGCAATTCTTGGAAATACTTACACTGTTTCAATAAAATCAAGGTATAGTAGTTTAATCTTTCTTTTTCTCACATCTGTTCCTTTATCACCCTTTCTTTTGTGTCTGAAACGTGCTCCTAATTTCTAATTACTTTGACTATTCCTAAAGGTAAAGCCATAATAGTAAATATGGTTTATATGCAAGTATATTATACTTATTTTCTTAATTATGGGTTTTACGTGTTAGGATATAAGAATGATTTTTTCTTTAAAACATTAACCCTTAAAAGATATGATGTCTGGGGCTGGCCCCGTGGCCGAGTGGTTAATTTTGCGCACTCCGCTGCAGGCGGCCCAGTGTTTCATTGGTTCGAATCCTGGGCGCGGACATGGCACTGCTCATCAAACCACGCTGAGGCGGCGTCCCACGTGCCACAACTAGAAGGACGCACAACGAAGAATATACAACTATGTACTGGGAGGCTTTGGGGAGAAAAAAGGAAAAAAAAAATCTTTAACAACAACAACAAAAAAAGATATGATGTCTAAGATTTGCTTCCAAAAAGTACAGGAGGAGTAGAAGTAGAGAGGAATATAGGTGGAGTAAGATTGGCCATGACTTGTTAATGTTTGAAGCTGGGTGGTGGGGACATGAGATTCATTCTACATTAGTCTACTTAGTATATGTTTAAAATTCTTCATAATAAAACTTGACTTTTTATTGACCGGTTCTTTACTCTGGGAGCCTTGTTGGTTGATTCTGGCAGATATTTGCAGATATTCCAGAATCAGGCAGACCTGGGTTTAAATTTAAGGCTCTGTGTCCTTAGGTGAGTTTCTTAACCCCTCAGTTTCTCTATTTTCAGAGTAAAAAGGTAGTATTCTTTCCTGGTAGTCTTTTTCTTTTAAAAATGTTTCTTTCAAAACTATTCGATGTCTTATCTTTAGGGTCCTATTAGGAGTTAAGAATGCTTCCTTTTTCTTTTTTCTTTTCTTTTTTTTTTTTTTGAGGAAGATTAGCCCTGAGTTAACTACTGCCAATCCTCCTCTTTTTGCTGAGGAAGACTGGCCATGAGCTAACAGCCATACCCGTCTTCCTCTACTTTATATATGGGACGCCTGCCATAGCATGGCTTGCCAAGCGGTGCCATGTCCGCACCCGGGATCCGAACCAGCAAACCCCGGGCCACCGAAGCAGAATGTGTGTACTTAACCACTGCGCCACAGGGCCGGCCCCAAGAATGGTTCCTTTTTTATTTGGTTGAGGTGTTTTTGCTATATGAACAGGGTTAAAATGCGTATTTCTGTGTAGTTATGTCTTAGTAAACATTATTGATTTTTTTTGTTAAGATGAATTTCTAGAGTTAGAATTGCTGAATAAAAGTCCAACTAGTATTTTTCTGTTGTTAAAATTTGAAAGACTAAGCAAAACTGATTATTTACTTAATAGAGATTTTTTTCTCCTTCCTAGGCAAAACATGACTTATATTGATCCTTTTCAAAATTATGGACAATTAAATTCATTATATGAAAAATTATTTCATCTAATAACACTTTCTCAAAATGACATAAAAGACATATTCCATTTTTGCTCACAATGTAGATTACGTAGTAATGTATATTTCTGTCTCTTTACAGTAAATTGTTGAAGACTACGTCACAATTTCCACTTCCTCTGGCTGTTGGTGTGATTGCTTTTGGGTCAGCCCATTTATACAGGGTTCCATGCTTTGTCTTCATTCCTCTTTTACTCCATGCGTTATGCAACTTTATGTAAGATTGGATTTAAGGAATGATAAAGATGATTTATGCCTTTAGGGCCAGTAATAAGAGGGAACGCACAGATCCATCAATGTGGACAGCAAGATCTTTTGGAGAAGACAAGTCTATTTTTACAATATTGGAAATAGGAAATTAGTTTTGTAATGCTTGAGGAAAGTAGTTGAAGCATGGTTTTGTTTTGTGGTATGGCATCTGTGTACAAGTCATTTTGGAAAATTTAGTAAAAGGATGCAGTGGCCGCTCTCTGAGGACACCTCTGCATATCAGCTTGTCTGCTCGATTGGCCATACCAGGGATCTTCTCCTAAATGCTCAGTAAATGTAGCATTGCTTGTAATTTCACCTCAGGCATTCTGCTCATTTCATCAAACATTGTTCTGAAAAGTGGGTTACTTTGTATTTGCTACAGTATACTTATTCTGAAATACATCTTAAAAGATTGATGAAATTCACAACTGTTTGGTTTCTCAAAAATGAAATAGCCACTACGAGTCTTTGGCAGCCTCAGTGAACAAAGCAGATCTTTTTTCTTCTTACATCTATGAAAATATAACCTTTAATTCTAAGCAGACATGTTTTCTTGGTAACAGTACAAGATTGATGGACGGAAACATAATTCAAATTCAAAACTTAATGAAATTTTCTTATTACTTTTCAAATATAAATCTTATTTTGTCCTTGGCGAATATCAGGAGACTATTAAAGAGATTTATTGTTAAATTTAAAGAAAATTCTCGTAAATATTTACCTACTGTCATTGAGCAGTTCAGTTGTTCAGTCTATATCATTTTACTTAATTCATTGACCCCCGTGGCTTACAAAAGTGCCTCAGGTCATGATGGATTGTTAAAATAACTAAATTCTGGTGGTCAGGAAAAACTCTAGGTATGCACAGTTTTTGTCTGTTGTGGAAAATAACATGATCAAGTGCAATACCACCTTTGATGTATAAAATTATACAATAAATAGAACAAATATAAACATAAATTGGAGGCTTAGCCACTAAGTGGAATCTTAATTTGCCGTGGTGATTACTGTTTGGCAGATAAGAGTAATGTTTCTATGTCATTTGAGATTTCAGCTCAGCTTTAGCTACAAAAGAGTAGCAAGTAGGTAATGGAGCTAGGCAGCTTTGCCTTAAACTAGCATAAACTCAGGCTGAGGCATACCTGGCTCATGAAGTCCTTCCTTTAGATGTGGATGCTGTGAATACCCAAACCTCCAAATCAAAGTCCTTGAGTCCCAGTAATTCTGCATTTGCTCCTGTAAACTTGTATCCTTGTTAGTGCCCAGGATGTCCTAGAATACCAGGTTCCTTCTGTCTGCCACTGCATCTGGATTCCTTTACAACCTCTCAGCTGTTACTGTCTGTAGAGGGTTCCCCCACTTCTCTTCTCACTCGTTCCTTAGGTCCTTGCTGTTTTGGCATCAGTTGAAGCCGTTCTTGCTGTCATCTCTGAGGGTTTAAGTTTGTTTGATTTCCTTGTCATCTTTCCCAACTTCCTGCCTGTTGTTCAGTATTCATGCTTTCACTTACTGAGACATTAAAGGGAAGTAGTAACCTCATACTAGATATGGCAGACATACCAGGCTCTTGTTTGTTTGAGGGACGTAGCAAAAGGGATAAAATACAAAATGATCGTGTGTTCAGTATCTAAAAGGAAAGAGAATTTATTAGAATATAGACTTATCCCATGGCATACCACATATATATTTAAATAAGGACGCGTCTGCCTGTGTTTAGCTATGCATATACTCATAAACAACTTTTGTACATGTGGTATCTTTTGTTTTTTCCGTGATATTATAGTTGTATTTCAAATTACAGGTTAAATGTGTCATTCAGCTCTTTCTGAATTTGAATTTAGGTCTGTATACAGAAAGAACTTTAGAAAATTCATTAATTCGGATCTTCTATTGACAGCCATAATCATTGTGTTTATGTGATCTAAAGTCTCATTATTTAGTCAGTATTGCTCATGAATAAAATGTAACAAGCTTAAATTTCTCATTTGTGAATAATACATTAGCTTTTAAAAGCAGCAGACTAGACACACTAGTTCTATATTTTCATGAGTGTAGTTAACATCAAGTCCTAAAGTCTTATTTATTCCAACAAAATATTTCATTTTAGGACTGTAAAACAGATTCTAATTAAACATTTTAGAAGCAACATTAGGTTGGATCTTTAGCCATCATATGCATATAGATATATAAAGGCATGTATGTATACTTACATTTTGACGGGGTCTTCATCAAGTCCTGATGCACTTTAAACCCAGATAACCACCAGAGATGAGAAGGTAGGCTCTGTCTGAAGATGAGCCAAACTAATGTTTCTGTCACTTGAGAAAAGGAAAAGTCCTTTTGCCTTTAAATTACACATTGTTTCTGTCATGCTTACAACCTATATTATTAGCTGCTAAAACAGCACAGGTTTATTAGCAATGTTACTAAAAATGAAATTGTTTATTGGTAGTTAGGATTATCTAGTTCAGCAGACTTCTGAGCTCTACTGTTACAACATTTTTATTTAGAATTTGTTGAGTTTTGAGTAAGTTTTGTGCTTATAGAAGTTACTCCTGGGCCCTGTTGTTGATAACTGGATCAAGCGTAGACTGGGCAGAAAAACAGTGAGTGCTTTCAGTGTTTCTGAAGCCCCCTGCTCTGGAGTCACGACTCTTATAATTTGGAACTGATACTATGATAGAAATCATTAATACTCATTTTTCTAGATCCTTTTTGTCCCGGAAATTAAACAGGTTCTGCTAACTCTTTTCTTGGTTGTCACCAGAGTGAAAATATTCAAAATAGCAGTCCTAGAAAAGCCATTTGTGCCTGGTTAACATTGATTTTGGATCTCTCAATGTATATTGATCATGTATTGATTAATTTTTTTTATTATTTTGGTTAGATGAATTCAGATGTATGTAATGGATACCTTTTCTTGATTGAACTACAGTGTGATGTCTACAGGAGTATACAGTAAGGAAAAAGAAAGAACTATAGTAGGCCTAGCAAATGTTTGTTGTTGATGATCCTGTCACTCATGCAGGTGGTGCGTGTTTCCACCACACACATGCTTATATGGTGCAGATTACGTGATTTGTTCATTATCTAGTTCCTGTGCTTTTCTTAACTCTTCAGACTTTCCGTTTATAGCCTACTTTGTTCATTTCACCTCATTGCTCATTAGCACCTGTTCCAGAAGGTGATCAAGGGAAGTAAAAGGAGAGAAAGCTCAATTTTCAGTTTAGTTCTTGAAAGCTCTGGTGAGAATGAGGGAAAAACAAAGATTATGAGATAAACTAGGGCTGTTGCTTCCTGAATCCCAGATAATTCAGTTGGCCTGTATTTTCATCTTAGGCATTAAGTCTAAATTAGTATAATGTCTTGCTTTATTGTGAGGTTTAATGCAAAACTTTACAGTGCTGAATTTGCAATTTTAGTAACTTGTTATTAAAATCAGTTGAGAAAAATCAAAAAAATGTGTTGGGACCTTCTATGACTAGGCATTTGTTGGTTATTTTTCATCATCACTTTTTGTTTTCTCAGTGTTTTAGATTTATATAGCTGCACATATATATCAGAGGAAACAAGATATCTTGTGAAGTTTTTTGGGGAAAGTCAATTTGGAGAGCATGACACTCCCCAGGGTAAAGGAAGCAATAAAAATATCTTTGTGTTATAAAATTAGACCCTGGCAGAAAACTTCCTTGCCACATAAGGTAAATGTATAAGATAGTTTTACAAAATAGTAAGATGATTGGGAGCTGAAACTTTATCCCAGTCTTTTTGAACAAAGGACAACATTTCAAGTTCTGTGAAGGACTTTTATTTATACATATTACTCATGCATTCTTTCACAGTAGGTTTTAACAGGCTGAGGAAACAGAAAGTCTGTGAGGCTGCTTGTGTTCTTTGCTTTTAATAAGGATGATAGGAGGGAAAAGTCAGGTCAGTACTCCAAATCCGGATATGTGTACTGTAAATGCTCAAGAATTCACTTTTTTTTTGGATACATTATATTATGAGTACAAATGACTGAATTTTGTATATTAACTTAGTTTTAAGAATGAAATAAAATTTAGAAGTAGTGAGACTGGACTATTATTTCATTAATAGTATAAATGTAAAAGTACACCTGAATTGATAACATAATTTTCAAAAGTTCGATGATATTCTAAGCTACATCTTGATTACATTGTCTATAGCTGAAAATTTTTAAATCAAATACAGTACTTTCTAAAAGTGTTTGGCATGTTGTGCTGCAAAAAATGACTATGTTTTGAAATACCAAGTAACCAGTTAATTTCTGATGACTTTGTATAGGACTTGATATATATGAGTCAGAATTATTCTGTACATTGTAACTTTGAAGACTTATGAAAAACTGTCGATGTATTTTGATTAATTAGTGTAAATTTGTTTGCATATTTGAATCCTAGTCTTAGTTTAGGACGTCTAAAATAGCCATTTTTGTAAAGTTCATATGCTATTTTTTTTAATGTTATTTTGGGTTTTAGTATTTATATAGTAGTAATGTTACCAGTAAAAGATTTATAGACAAAGCATAGAACTATTAACTATTCAAAAGCCTAAAAGATAGGCACATTTTGTATTTCATGTTGCACCTGTTATGTTTCATACTGGACTTTTTACATCCCTTTTTTAGGAAAAAAACACATTTGAGTTTTTTTAGCATAAAACTCTACATTGGAAAAGATAACTGTATTCATATGGTTAGCAAAACACACTTTGCCACCAAAGCTAAATGAAACTGTAAAATACCTCCAGATATTTGTGCCAATGAACTTTTCTTAGCATATTGGGATTAAAGCAAAAATACTCTTTTCAGTATTTTTCATCTAGGACTTATATTAAATATGTAAATCATTAAAACTTATAGTCACTACCCTAATTTTTCTTTACAAATATATAAGGCTTATAGTGCAGGCTTATATATAGGCTTATATTCTATTTTGCCTGATTTCTGGAATAATATTCTCTGATTTTATTAAGTAAAAGGTAATTACCCAATAATGATCTTTCAGTAATTAATTGAAGTAATCATTTGAAGTAATCCTGCTTCAGATTCATTCTGTGCTGTAAAAATTGAAATTTTGTTGCTCAGATCATTTTTGGTACATGTCTCATTTATGTAATAGAAAGTTTACTGTGGAGTTTCTTTTTTTCCTGTGTGTTTTCATTCAGTCTGCATAAGTCACATGTTTCATAGGAGGAAATTATCCACCAGAACCTAACATAGTGCAGTTAAGTGAACATTTTAAAATGCATATCTTAAAGGAAAATATTATAAAACAATCAAGATGTTAATGCTAAAGTGTTAACATTGCTGTGGTGTTGTACTCATGAGAGAAAAGTAGAAATATGATAGAAACTGTTGTGTGTTTCTGGTTGAAATTCTTTAATTTCTCCACCATAGAAATTCTCAAAGGGAATTTCAGTCCCTCATAGTGTAGTTTTCCCCACCATTTAAGGTCAGTGAACTGTTTCTCTGCCCAGAAGTGTGATGCAGTTTGCATAAGTAGCCTTGAAGGAAAGAGGCAGCAGAGAAAGCCGAATAGTAAAATGTTTGGCCTTGATTTAGTGACAGTTTATCCAATTATCTGATGGGCACAGTGGACGATATGAGGACAAAGATGGTATATAAATGTACAAGACCTAAAAATTCACTGAACGTTGTTTCTTAGAATGAATTTGTCCTTTGTGTTGAATAATTTTATGCGAAGTAGGAGATACCTGTGTTTAACATAACCGTGCTTTCTACGTAATCAAATATGTATTTGTTAGAAAGTTGGTAGAAATAACCTTCTCTTTCTCCACTGTGGAGGAGAAAAAACCTCCAATTTTTAGTGTATATAAATTAGGAAATTGTATTGTGTATTTACATTTTAAAAAATATAAAAATGACTTAAATATATTATTTTGAAGTGATTGTATTACAGTTTCTTAAACATAGGACTAACTATAAATGTAGCAGCGTACCCATGAGAAACCAGACCAAAATTGAATGCATATAATCACTGTGACCTTGAACTTATAGTCGTTTGGGATAAAACAGACTGTGCCTTAAAATGATGAAGGAATGCCCTGCAATTTTATAACTGTATATTTTATTATGGGTGGTCTTCTCAAATTGGCCCCAAAACCTTTACTTTGAGGTTGGTGAAATAAAAGTTTAAAATGAAAGTTGACCAGTATTTCCCTTAGTGTTTGCAGAACCATTGCTCTAGAGGCCTCCCTTAGTTTCCAGGGTTCTCATTCGAATTAAAAATGTCTTACACCTTATAGACATAGAAAATTAAGTTTGGCTAAAATTTCTGAAAATAAATTTATTTTAACAGCAGGTGGTGGCACTTCTGTTCTGAACTTTTTGCACATGGAAAAAATTAATCTTCGAATGTAATTGTTTGTCTTTTAATGAATAATCTATCAAAAGCACGTATTCTTCCCTAAGACCTATACTTGTTTTTCCTCAGATTATCAAGGCTTGTATTTGTATATCAAATAAAGTTAGTTTACCCGATAATTATTTTTCCATAATTAAACTCGGATTCATGTAGTATATTTTAAAATATTATTTTCCATTTTTCTTTTTTTCTTTTTCCTTCTTAATTATTTTTAAGGTATCAAGAGAGAACTGGCTCCACTCTGGGGGGCTTTTTTTAATGTAAAGACTTGCATTTTTACTCTGCTTATTTGAAATAATGGATATAATTTCTATTAAAACAAATTATTTCATCCGTAGGACATTCATGGTCTCTGCTAAAAGCCATCCACATCTCTGTATACTCAGAATTTGTTGTATGTTTTTCAATATCAACTTTGGACATAAACTCAACACCTGTCTTTCTTCCTATTTCATCTCCACTACCTCCCTCCAAAGTCAAAAATACAGGTTTCTCTAAAAATATGTTGAAAGAGAACATGTCTTTCCTTAAAGTATGGTCAAATTGAGATGGAAGTAGTTTGGGCAAGGGTATGTAATAAAATACATGGCTGTCTTCTGCATCAGTTTTTATATTATAGTTAAAAGTTTCTAGAGAACAAACAATTTGTTATGCTGAGGTAGACTCAGTAATCATTTATTGGAAAATTGATCATTTTGTTCTCATTGAGAAAACGCAGTGCATAGTAATAATACTTAACAGTGCAAAGGAACTTGCCTATCGTGTATGCTGAAAAGTGACTGTCACCTTACAGATCTTTCCATTTAAACATGCATGATTTTGTCCAGTACTTTGTACAATGTATGGTGTACTGAATACACTTAGGTGTAATTTTGTGTGTATTTTTTGTATGGTATAATTAACATTATTACATTTAACTGGTTGTAATTCACAAAAAGTGCTATTTATTGTACTCTGTAGAGTGTTGTGAATGTTTTTATCTGTGTTTCAACATTATGGTGTAGGGTTTAATAGATGAATATTTGCCTTCAGTCTCCGCTCAGGTATTAATGTGTAGCAATTTTTGGTGCTTTCTTTTTAATCTGTCATAATCTGATGTTCTGAATGTTCAACAATAAATTTGGTGGACAAGAACACGCAGTGCAGAGATTGCTTACCAGTTCACGTACTCTCCACAACACCGTCTCAGGAAGAAATGCTTAAAAATGGTTTCTTTACAGCATGTGTAGCGTTTCAGAAATTTGGATGCGCAAGCATGCGACATGATAAACAGAATACATCATAGGTAAATACTGGAAGCAAGATAAATTCTAGCTTCCCACATGCATTTGTGTGGACACTTTATGGCTCACATTCTGTTTTAAGGAACTATACATTTATATTTTTCCTAGGGACCATGCTTCCCACCTTCTTTATGCTAACATGATATATACTCATGGGTGCCCAGTTTCCCAAATTAAATGAGAATGATGAGAGAACGAATGAGACGAGTAAAATGGGGTGGGCCATCATCTTTTGAGGGATGAGTATCTTACAGGTTGATTAGAACGGTGTTTTCTAAACTACTTTAACCAGCATGTCTAAATATATGAACAATTATAGACTATCTGCATATATTAACATTCTGTATATTATTTAAAAAGTAAATTTTTATTTTATTTATTTTTGTTTGTTTGTTTTGAGGAAGATTAGCCCTGAGCTAACATCTGCCACCAGTCTTCCTCTTTTTGCTGAGGAAGATTGGCCCTGAGCTAACATCTATCTGTACCATCTTCCTCTAATTTATTTGTAGGACTCCTGCCACAGCATGGTTCAATGAGCAGTGCATAGATCCGTGCCCAGGATCCATACTGGCGAACCCCAGGCCACCAAAGCAGAGTGCACAAACTTAACCACTACGCCACTAGGCTGGCCCCCCAAAAAGTAAATTTTTAAAGATGAGAAATACGCAACTAGAAGCTTTAATATTTTCCTTGGATACTTAGAGGATTATCTTGTGATCACCCCAATATGGAGGCCACTGGAGTATACAACATGAAACCCGCATAGACTTTTCCCACTAGTTTCTCTCCCTTTTTGCAATTCCCACTTGATCTTCACTCACTTTCCAAAATATACATAGTTTTTATTGCTGCATAGCAAATTAAACGTTCAGCAGCTTAAAACAACACCTATTTATTTACTCACAATTCTATAGGTCAGAAGTCTGGGCACAGACCAACTGGGTTCTCTGCTTAGAATCACACTTTTGAAATGAAGGTATCAGCCAGGACTACTGTCCTATCTGAGACTCATTCAGGTTGTTAGGGAATGAGGTTCCTGTCTTCTTGGTGGCTGTCAACCAGAGGCTGTTCTCTTCTGAGCTCGCTGTGCCATTCCCTGTACGTAGCCCTCCACAAAATGGCAGGTGCACCTTCAAGGCCAGCGGGATTCCTCTTACATTTTGAATCTCTTAAACTTCCTCTGTTTCTGACCCTTAGACCCTGATTTAGAGGGCTCATGTTAGTAGCTCAGATCCACTGAGATATTTCCTTTTTGATTAACTCAAGGTAAACCTTAGTTACATCCACAGAATCCTTTTGCCATATAAAGCACATGATCATTTTCCCCTCATACAAGTTCAACTCACACTCAAGGGGCCTGGATAATACAGGGGGCTACACCAGGGCGTGAGAATATGGGGGCCATCTTAGAAGTCTGCCTACCATGCATATCAGGGAACTAAAGTCTTTTTTGTAACTGCTATACTTAAATAATATTTGATTCCCTAGTTTTAATCAAAGGAGCTGATAAATATAAAATGTTTCAGTGAAAGAAAAGCCCTTCAATGCTTTGAATTTTATACAGCCCCTAGAAGAAAACAGTCTTCTATCTCTGGGTTATTTTGCGTGCGTGCATGTGCGTGTGTGTGTGTGTGTGTGATTTTGATTACTTTAGAGATGGTTTTGTTCTTTCTTGTTTGCATTTAATGGTCAGAACTTGGATTAAATTAAAGAAGAGAAGACTAGTGGCCTGAAAATTAAAGAAGAGAAGACTAGTTGGCCTTATCAAGTGAATGGAAACACTTTACTTAATAAGTAGATATAATTTCACATTGGTTATGGGTCACGAATAATGACTCTAACTCAAGCAAAATTATATAAAATCAGATTCAACTTTTAAACATGCTTCTAGTGATTTGCTTTTCTCTTGAATACGTTTGGAGGAAGGATGAAGTTTCATAGACTCTGTAGGTGTGCTCAGATCGTATATACCATGTAAACGAAAGCTTGAGGTTCTGCAGATCTGTGTGCTCAGTTGAATATTCTATGTGTCAATCAGCTGAGCCTTTAGTATCAAATAGTTGTGTAGGGCGTGTGCATGTCAACATGTGCTCAGCAAAAAAGACTCCATCACCATACTTTTTACCTTTCGTATTTGTGCCTTTCTGATCCAGAAAGAACTAGAAAAGGTAGAGAAAAACAGCTAGAATGATCTAGGGTTTTGTGTATAAAGTTCAGCTGAAGCAATAAAGGCCTCTTCACTCTGGAACTGCAAAGATTTAGCTAGAAGTTATTTAAAGAGGCAACTTTATGATTCACTCTCTCTTTTTGTTCTGTGGCTTGCATTTTATTCTGCAGGCATTACAGAGAGTGTTGCCCTAAGAAGGTGATATAGGATTGGGATGGAGAGGAGAGGACAGAGTTGACTTCTTTCTGTATAAAGGTTTTGACCTACTGGAGGAAAAAGGAATTTAGTGACCCAGCCCTGACAGCCTAGTGGTTAAAGTTCAGCCTGCTCACCACTTCAGCAGCCTGGGTTTGCTTCCCAGGTGTGGACCTGTACCACTCGTCTGTCAGTTGCCATACTGTAGCAGTGGCTCACATGGAAGAAATAGAATGACTTACAACTAGCATATACAACCATGTACTGGGGCTTTGGGGAGGGGAAAAAAAAGGAATTTATTTAAGAAAAGAACTTGGTTTACCATTTTTAGGAAAGCAAAGTGGGGGCTGGCCCCGTGGCCAAGTGGTTAAGTTCACACGCTCTGCTTTGGCAGCCCAGGGTTTCGCTGTTTCGGATCCTGGGCATGGACGTGGTACCGCTCATCAGGCCAGGCTGGGGCAGCATCCCACATGCCACAACTAGAAGGACTCGCAACCAAAATATACAACTATGAACTGGGGGGATTTGGGGAGAAACAGCAGAAGAAAAAAAAAAAGATTGGCAACAGTTGTTAGCACAGGTAACAATCTTTGGGGGAAAAAAAAGAAAAGTATGCAATATAGTTGCATTTTAAACTAGGACTGTGTAACATTCACTGAATTTAAAAATCTTTGTTGTAACTAGTTTTCAAGTAGAATTGGTTAGGGGCTGGCCCCGTGGCTGAGTGGTTAAGTTCACATGCTCCGCTACAGGCAGCCCAGTGTTTCGTTGGTTCGAATCCTGGGCGCGAACATGGCACTGCTCATCAAACCATGCTGCGGCAGCGTCCCACGTGCCACAACTAGAAGGACCCACAACGAAGAATATTCAACTATGTACCCGGGGGCTTTGGGGAGAAAAAGGAAAAAAATAAAACCTTAAAAAAAAAAAAAAGAATTGATCAAACATTTAGTTATGTTTATAAATTACAGATCCACAGAGTACTGTAAAAGGAAATGTGATTGTTTTGGACAGTGATCTCCAAACCTTTTTGATTGCACACCCTGATCATTAAAAAAAGTTTGAAACTTCCCCCTAAGCATGCTACTACTATTTTTGTTATTAACGCCCTCAAGTAGATTCCAACTCTAGTGACCCTGTGTACAGTGGAGCGGAACCCTCCTGGTCTTTCTGCGCCATCCTCTCGCCTTCCAGTGCTCCATTAGACAATACTCCCCGCTGTTCACAGGGTTTTCTTGGCCAACGTTTTCAGCAGTGGGTGGACAGGTCCTTCTTCCTAGTCTGTCATAGTCTGGAAGCTCCGCTAAAACCTGTCCACCATGGGTGACCCTGCTGGTATCTAAATACCAGTGACGTAGCTTGCAGCATCAACAGCAACACACAGCCACCATAGTATGACAACCAACAAATGGGTGATGTCGTTCCCTGACTTGGAAATGAACCCGGGTTGCAGCCGTGAGATTGCCAAATCTTAATCACTAGACCACCAACTACTAGTTTACTAATATGCACATAGAAAATGTAGAGAGAAATGATATATTTGTAAATGTCTTACTAATTATGATATCTTCATAATATCAGTAGCTGATATCTCAAGGCAGAAAATATGTTTAGGGCAAAAGTGAATATAAATTGATTTTTCAAATAATCTTGATAATTTTTAATAGTGAGGAGTAACTTCTTGTCAGATCTGATAAAATTATTGTTTCTAATTCCTAGTGAGCCTGACAAGAGTAGAAGTGTCAGTACTGATATTTTGTTGGTTTGCACTTGCATTACTGATACCGCCTTCAACTTTTTGTTGTAAGGAGTAGTGTCTTGTGAGGAGTATTTTCAAGCTGTTTATTTGTTTTGTGATAGTTATATTAGTTAAAGTTAGATAATATGATAAATCTTAGTAAGATAATCCATGACTCCTTTAACTGGCTTACATATACTGCAATGTCACAATCTGCTTAAAGTGAGCACATGAACAAACAGAGCAGGAGGTGCCCCATCATCCTCCTCCGTGCTGGAGAATTCCCATTCCTCTCAGAGCAGACCCCACACCCTCTGTGTGATCAGCTATGATAAAGGCTGAGTGGGGTCAGTCCATCTGCAAAATGCTAGCACATTAATTCGTTAGATTAGAAACATGAGAATGAGTTATGTTTTCCTCCAACATCCCAATATGTTGTCTTGCACACCACTTAGGATGTACACAATCTTCTTTGGAGAAACTTAGTTTAGGATATATTTTGTAACCCTTTGAGGTTGTCTTTGATAGGTTTTTAGCATCTATATTTATATTCTGAAAGCAAACAAGTTTCTGGATCAGAAACGGACCTATTATTACCTAAAGCAGTAAGCACATCAGTTCCCCTTGCCCCTTCTTCCCCCTTGAGGGCCTTGTGAGGAGAGCCACGTGAACCCAGCATGTGCAAAAGGGGTTTTCTGTTCTGTTTTGCACCACAGGAGAGGAACCCCAAAATTACGAATTTGGGAGTTTA